ATATTGTGCTTTCCCCTACTTTACACATGTGTGCTTGGGCTGATGTTCTATGGTTGATATCCTAAGAACTTAATTCTTGAATCGGGTTCCTTTGTAATTTTCACAGTTCACATCTATTCAGTTATTTCAGCCTGCTCAGTGCTCCGTCTGAGCATGGTAGTGTATCTGGTTGCTCTTCCTTGGACTGATTACAGAGCCATCTTTTTTTTTTGGTAACATGGTGACCAGAATTGTACACAATCTAAAGGAGGTATTACCAATTTTTTTATCATTTAAGCATGGTGTCATTTGATTGAAAGTTAAATTTATACTTGTAACATTTTTAAAAAAACAATTTGTAAATATTTTCTGTATTAAAAGCATTTAGCTTTTTTCTTTGTCACTTTGTCATGAGCAAATCACAAGTATATTCTTCATGCTCAGCAGTTTTCCATCTTATAGTATGATCCTGCTACATACATGTAACAGCTTCCAGGCATCCGCTAGGTGTTCACCCGGACATGAATTTTGTCTAAATATTTTAGTTTTTCCTTTGTATCTTCTATAGTTGTTGCTAATTCTATGTTTGTGTTTTCTACAAACGTGACTGAACTACTTATTACACTAGACCCTTGATCACTGACCCCCATGGGTCTTGATGGCCTGAAAAGGGACCTACCTACCTTGATCACTGACCTAAATTAGGAAAAGCTGTGGTCTTGATTTCAATCTGTGGTCCTCCCATAGTCATCACCCCAGATTCATTTAACCAATCCTGATATATGTTTTATCTTGGACAGCCTTCAGTCAAAAAAGGCTCATTAAAATCTAATTTACCAAAAGCCTTCTTAAAATACGAACTTACAATGTTCTCTTTGTACCGCTTACTGATGTTACTTGTCGGAAGAACACTTACTTGTCAGTAAAGCAGAATCTACCTACTTTAATTATGTTGACATGTTTTTAGTTGGGTTCTAGGAGATTCTCCTGTTCCTTTTGGCAGTTAGTAGATAATTGATCTGAGAATCGCGCCCAGCCTTTTTTTAAGACAAGCCAGGGATTTGGCTTCAATAACATGGCTGGGTAGATTGTTCTGTTCTCCCACAACCCTTTATGTAAAGAAGTCCCTGCTGTTCTCTGAAGTGAATGCACTTCCACCTGTGAAAAATAAGTTCCTTGAGCTTGTCAGTGTAGAATATTCCCTTAAGCCCTGGATGGTATCTGGTTTCTCTTTTCTCGACTGATTTCCTTAACTGAGTGCCTCAGTCTTTTTTTTTTTTTGTGGTTATTAAAATTTTACACAGTATTCTGAATTACTGTAAGTTTTATTAGTAGTACAATTTTAGCAATATCACTTGCTTTAAATTCTACACCTTTAACTATATAGTATAATTTTTGATTGGCTTTGTTTTAGTTTTTGCTACCTAAACGTAATACTGTGCACTTGTCCACATTAAACGTTATCTGTCAGGTGTCCTCCTAGTGCTGAGTTGAACATCTTTTTAAATTTCATTTGCTGCTTCTACAGTGTTTGCCAATACTTATATTTTGTGTTGTCCTCAAAGTTGCGTAGTTTCCTAGCTGCACCAGAGACATAACTAAGATCCCTGTGGTACTCCACTAATTGCATCACCACAGTTTAACATTCACCCCTTTTCTGTCCTTTTTCTGACCATTAACGAACTCTCAGTCCAGACACTCATTTTCCTGAATGTCTACAGAATTCAAGTCAGAATTACGTTAACTGTTACTGTAGTTCTGATTATGAGTTATGATTAACATTAGAGCATTCCATCTTAAAAACATCGGGTAAAACCAAGTCAAAGCAAGGCCTAGTTCACAAATCAAAGTCCCAGTCAACAAGGGCTATAACGGTTGATCTGCTGGCTGAAGTGTACATTTAGTCAGTTTGCTATCTAGCATATACAGCAGTAAAGCTCATGGTAGAGCTCGTTGGACCACGTACAACTGGAGGAATGCTTATTTTTATATAAGAGGGTAAACCTGTCTTTTAAGGTTCATGAGAAAGAGGCTTGTCCCCATTTTTTGTTGGCTTTAGATTTAAAATCCACTTGTGTGCCGAGATGCCACATCTTGTCACCAGACTCCTGTAGGAAGGGCTTGAGTCTTTTGAAATGCAATTTGTAATTTGTGATGCATACTGCATTTTGTCTTTGATGTATTAAATGCCTGTCTGTGTGTGAATGCAGAAGTGCCACGGAGCTGCTTTAGACCGTTTCACATCTGTTGTGTAAATAAGGTTATTTTACCATTCATATTGTTGGGTGTAATGCACCAAGCTTTGCCTTTTTCATCTGACCTTGTAATTCTGAGACCACAACATAAAAAGTCACAAGCAAAAAAAAAGCTTTATGAAAATAAGAAAGTTGTAGTTCCAATACTGTTAGGTTGGCATTTTATGGTTCAAAAATCAAAAATAAGGTATTTGTTTTTCTCATTATTTCCCTTTAGTATTAGCTGGTGGCTCTGCTTTCCACATTTTTTGATAAGTGTTAAAAGCAACGTGTTAATTGCAGTATTTTATGGTTCTACTTAAAAGCTGCTCTTCAAATTGTTCCTTTGTCTCTACGGAGGCCCTGATCGCTGTGCTACTCACCCAACCGGATTTCAATGTATTGTCCAGGAAGTATGTGAGTTCATAATCTAAAGATATTAAGAATTCATATACGTCCTAGACAATATGCTGAAATTCAGCTGGCAGAGTAGCACATTCGCTATGAAAGGATACCTGAAGTGCAGTACAATACCTCTTATCAGAGAGGGCCTGAAATCAACAATTTGTGGAAGAAGTTAAACCACAGAAGAGCACAGTCTTGTTTGTGTTTTATCTTTAATTACTTACTTGTCTTGTTCCTACTTCCTTCTGGAACCTGCAACACAGATGCCTGTAACGAAAAGCTTATATGATGTTCATAGTAGCTGGATACAATTTCTTATTTTTCATTTTAGATATTGAAAGTATTACTGATACCTTTCTTTTAGTCACTCATCCAATTCATTACATTATCAATCAGTTGTATTTTAAGACTTGTTGGGTAAGGAGAACATGGCATCAATTAGGACAAAAAAAGATAGCTACCCAACACAGTGGACTGGTGTCCTGTCCAGGGTGTACCCTGCCTTGTGCCTGTTGCTTGCTGGGATAGGCTCTGGCTCCACCACAATCCTACTAATGTGTTTTTAATTAAAATAAGAGCATAGGATAAATATTTCTATGTGGAACATTAAAAATTGTTATTTGCATTGCAGGGAGCTCTTCATGCTGTTTGATAATGATGATTAACATTACTGATTGACACAGTGTTCTCTTTGCACAACAGTCTGTAACACGCATATAGTCAAATGATAATTAAAAATTGAATGTGTTCTCCCTCTTGTCCAGACTGGATTATATATATTTTAAATTGTATATGGATGTATAGCATACAAGTAAACAGACATGTTTATATAAACCCAAATATGTGTTAATAAACAAATTCAACTTCTTAATGTGTTTTTTGCAGTGCTGTAACTTCAGTTTTTCATTCCCTTTAAATTCCCAGAACTTGTCAAAATTGCTCTAAAGTGTATACAGAAAATAGGTACTTTCACAAATACTCTTACAATTTATTCAATATAAAGTGTCCTACAGGGACAACCATATTTTAGATTAAAAGACAATGCAGAACTCTCTTTTCAGATAAAGAAAATATTTACAGGTTTTAGGGCACATCTTAACCTGAACCTTAAGACATTTTTAAATTATTTTGCTTGTGTGCCCAGTTATTAGGTGCTATTAGCACCGAGGTGCATGCAAGTGTAATATAATAGGCCATTGTATTTAACCTCAAAATATTTTTATACATTTATGACCTTGACCCTGATGCTTAAAGGTTGGGATATATGCATCTTTAGTAAACACGAGAAATAACGCACACAGTGATTGAACTCTTGTATAATACTTAAGGTCATTTTCGATTTCCTACATAAAACCTTACAAACAGTTCTGTGTTTGCAGTGAAAGCTTAACTTCTAATTAAATGTAAATTAAATTCTAATTGATTTACTTTCTAATGAAAGTGAGCACCTTCTAAGTGAAAGAGGGACAGCAAGGTGGTTTCTTCCGATTGCTCTGGTTTCCTCCTACAGTCCAAAAACATGCTGGTGGGTTAATGGGCTTCTGGGAAAACTGGCCCTGGGTGCACCATGGGATGGACTGGCGTCCTGCTCGCGGTGTACCCCGCCTTTCGCCCGTTTACTTGCCGGCATAGGCTCTGGCTGCTCCACGACCCTGACCTGGGTGGGGAGGGTTGAAAATGGATGGATAATAGCATATATTATGCTGGTGGACCAGTGCGAGGGCCTCTTCCCTTTGGATCACAATTTCCAGGCCAATGTCCCAGTATGGGGACCAGGACACTGTGCTGCAGGAGGTGCTATTCTTTAGCGTTACACTAAGGTTCTTGCTAGCTGGTCATTAAAGATCCCAAGGCATGGTTTATAAGATTAGGGAGGCCTACTCTGATCTTGTACAATCTGGCCATCCTAAGGAATCCTGGCCTTAATTTCGCAGATAAAACAATTGCTCACTTCTTCACTTCACCTACTAAGCAGGTTGGCTAAAAGGCGGCTTAGTAGTGGAAGCTCTTTCAGATCAATTGGGATGGTTGCTTCTTAATATTTTTGGAAAGCTTCCTTTAATTTTCATTCAGAAGAATATTTTTTTTCCTTTAAAAAAATTGCTCTTCAGACAAATGGATACTTTCTCAGTGTATATATACAGTATTGATGGATTATCCTGTTGTGACTGAGTATAACTAAAAACACTCAGGGGGGAAAAAAGGACAGTTGTGTCTTTTTTTGTTAATGATTTTATTTACATTTTAGGCTTGAGCTTTTATACTTTTTAGCTCTTCTTTTCTAAAGTGGCCTGCCTTTTCTGAGAGACTGGAAGAAGTGCCTCCATAACTTGTGTACCTGCTGTCCTGATAAGTTATGTCAACCTTCTTATCTGTTTACAGATGCACAAAGCTTTGCCAACATAAGCCCCATGATCTGAAAGATGATGTATCTGAGAAGCAGTGTCCAGTCACAGTGAATTCTCGCCATATGAAAAAGGCTTTTAAAGTCATGAATGAGTTACGCAGGTATGTTATGGCAGTTTCCTTCTCTTGATAGTAGTTGCTAAAGCCTCCAGATTTGGAAGGAAACCAAAATGTAATATACCTATAGATTACATTTTGTGTTTTTCCTTCATCATTTTGTATTCATGTTTATGCATGACAGGTGTCTTTAACCTTCTGTCACTTGGACTTGTAACATTTCAGTTTGCAATGTGATACCTGTAAAGGGTCAACCATGTATTGTTCTACTGAAATTACACTATTACAGTGGATATAATTTTGAAATTATTTTTCAGCTAAAAATAAATAGAGAGCATCATGATGGTTTAGTAGTTATAATTGTGTGTGTGGATTGTCTCTGTGTGTTCCTGTTTACTCCACAATCTGAAGAAATTTTGGTATATTAATTGGCTTCTGAGATAATTGGTCCTGGTGTGACAGTGTATTTGTGTCTGCCCTGTGATGGACTGACGTCCCATCCAGGGTGTATCATTCCTTGTGCCTGATGTTTGCAGAGATAGGCTCCACCCCCCTCGACTCTGCAGTAATAAATGGATATTTAAAAGTAGCTAAATCTTTGCCTTGGTTATTGGATCAATGACAACTTTAAATTGAGGAAATAAAGTTAATTAATTTAATTTAAGTTAATTGGTTACATTCTTGAAAATAAATGCTTTTTTATTATGCTAGTAATATTGATCAGATCTATATTTGAAAAACATTTTCTGATCCTTTTTAGTTCAGAACAAGTACACAGAGAAAACAAACGTGTGAAAATACCTGACATCTCTGGGTATTTCTAAAAACAGTTTACATTTCTCCCCAGTGTATGTCATGTTATCCAGAACTGTTCACTCCTTTAAATAACCATTGAAAGAGACACTCTGTGTTTCTGTTAGTTGAGTACCAGAACTGGAGGAACTCCTGTGCAGCAGTCCTTCTGAAATATCACATTTCATACCCATTGGTTGAGATGGTATGGACTGGATCATCAGCCTCTTCTCTTAGAGCAGCTGTCATAACAGCAAGGCTATTAAGTCTATTTATCGGGAACTAAGCTTAATTTATTGTGGCAGGAGATGGTGTTTTAAGTCTTTCCACTTTGATGCTGCATTACAAATTGTTCTTTTTTAGATGTTCGCTTAGCCCATTTGGTACCCCTGTTACTCTTCCTACTATTGAAGAACTTAATTGGCCCCTTAACTTTCCAGGTCAAACTTCTCATTTTTGCACATTATGGTATCAAACAGCTTTAGTATTTCGTTTTTATCACTGAGCCTGGAGATTGTTACAGACGAGCAGTAACTGGTCTTGACTATGTGCTTTTATTAAAAACATGCATTATGTTTGTCTTACTATACCTAAATATAACTTTTCTCTCCTGTTTAGCCAAAATCTTTTGTGTGATGTGACCATTGTTGCTGAAGATGTAGAGATTGCGGCCCACAGAGTAGTACTGGCAGCCTGCAGTCCTTATTTCCATGCAATGTTTACAGGTATGTATTCTGTTATAACATTCATTTTCTGATTCTGATTTACCTAATTAAAATAGAAATATACTTTATTTGGATTTTGACATGGTACTCATGTCAGGAATGTTTTTGGGACTAGAAAATATAACAATAAATAGAAAATGTACAATTCTTATGTGAAAGTAAACAAGATTATAACATTACTATTAGTCTGCATATACTCAGACAGTCATATCTCAGTATTTTACATTTGCTGTGTCTTTATTAATGCTTGGGCGGAGAGGTGGCTCTGTGGCTAAGGATCTGCGCCTGTGACTGGAAGGTTGCCGGTTCAAATCCCGTGGCCGGCAGAGTAATCCTACTCCGTTGGGCCCCTGAGCAAGGCCCTTAACCCCAACTGCTCCAAGGGTGCTGTACAATGGCTGACCCTGGGCTCTGACCCCAAGCTTCTCTCCCTGTCTGTGTGTCTGTGTCTCCATGGAGAAAAAGCTGGGGTATGCGAAAAGACGAATTCCTAATGCAAGAAATTGTATAGGGCTAATAAAGAAACATTATTATTATTATTATTTTATAAAGGCAAATTACAATGAATGTAATGTCATTAAATAACAGGTGCATACAGTGTACAGCCTAAAACAATTTAAGTGTTTTAATGGAAGAATTGCAAAAATTATAATAAACCTGCTTTATTTGTGTGAATTAGAAAGCTGAAGAATTATTGGATGGTTCAAACTTCTTTTCATTAAAGAAGCCATATAGTTTGGCCTCTGTATTTCTGAGGTTGGACTGAAAAGGCTACTTGATTCCTAAAATTAGCTTTCACGTTAACCTTTGAAACTCTTATTGTACTATTAAGTAGTTAAAATACTCATGTTAATAATAATGTGTGGCAGGGTCGTGCTTTCATTAGCATTGCTGCCCTGCCCTACAGAGCTGGGGCCCCAAGTTCCATTCCTGGGGTGCTGACTGTGTGGAGTTCGTATGTTCTCCCGTGTTCAAATGGGTTTCCTATGGATGCAGTGGTTTCCTCCCACTATCCAAGCATGTAGGTTAATGGGCTTCTGGGAAAAGTGACCCTTGAGTGAATGCATGTCTTTGTGTATGTATCTGTGTGCTCTGTGATGAACTGGAGTCCCATCCAGGGTGTACGCTGCCTTCTGCCTGATCCTTGCCGGAATAAGCTCTAGCTTCTCCGCTAAACATTTATCACTAAGGTGTAGGTAAGACTTCAGGTCCTGTTGATCTTGTAATTCTAGATTTTTATCTTAAATTATTGTAAATTCAATAGCAAGTCCTCAATTTCTCCCCTCTTCTTTATTGTGTTGCAGGTGAGATGAGCGAGAGCCGAGCCAAGCGAGTCAGGATAAAGGAAATGGATGGGTGGACTTTGGGGATGCTCATTGACTATGTTTACACGGCAGAGATTCAGGTCACTGAAGATAACGTACAGGTACTAACTGTTTGTACTGCACTGCGGCTCTTTAGACATTCCAGTTCTTCTTGCCTTTGTGACATACATTTGGAAAACTATTTTAGGAATACCCCCAAATATACAGGCCACAGAAATATAATAATATTATAACTATGGTGTTATAGTTATTATATAATTTACAGGGCAACATATACAAATGAAATAAGTAACTACGAGGAACATTCATTTGCCTGTAGCAAGATTTATTAATACAATAACATTAGTTTCATGGCCTGGAAGGGCAGTTCACACACTGTGCTAGGTAAAACACAAATATTACTGAGTAATCTCAATATTTTTCTCTGCCACTTAGAAAAATGTATGTCCTGTAAGTTCAGACCATTATATCAAGTCTGTTTGATGTAGTGATGAATGCAAAAGCCTTGTGTTTAATATTATCTTGAAAAATGTGAGGTATGATTCTGCTTGTGTCCTTGGGAGTTCTCTGCATACCCCTTGTTAAGTTCTTCAGAGAGTAACTAATGACTGGCTTTATGGCTTACTTCAATGCCTGTGTTTAATGGGGCTCAACAAACTATTTGGTTACTTTAAAATATTTGACATACAAGTTCAAAGGAGCAGATCAAGAATTGAGTAGTTCAGAAGTAGTCTAGATGCAGCAATGACTTCCTGAGGGAACCCCCCACGTTTGTCAATCCGTGAAGGTGTTCACTCAAAATACAGCAAAGTCAAAATACAAAGTACATGTGCCCTGTAGTGGGGATGTCACCAATGTGAGTGTGAGCTGTGGTTTCTAACAGACAGTGACACTTCAAGCAGCAGCTTGGTTGGATTTCAGTGGCTCTAACTGTCCTGGGATGTGGCAGCTCCTGAGGCTTGCCAGGTGTGCTTAATTTGTGCCAGAGATCCTCAGAGATAAGCTCCGGTGCATCTCGATTTGTCTGTGTCTTGGCACCTGTAAGCAGCGCTCCAGCGCCTCTTGACGTGAAGTTCACAGTTTGACACTAATTTTAAAGGCAGACACTCTTTCATGTTGTTCACTCCTCGATTACAGTTCTGTGAAAAGAAATCATTATTTGTTCTCTCTCTATAAATATTTTAAAAATAGACTTCATGCACATCAGAAAATGGGGTGGGACACAGGCTCTTGCTTTATTACACTGCTGACGTGTGGTGCACCCTGCCAGGTGTTGTAATGGGATGGCTTTTGCATTCCAGTGCTGCGTGCTCAAGCATTCAGACACGAGGAGGAAATTGTTTGAGAAAATAGTGCAGCACACTGCAAAAATCTGGCTAATGCTAGTCGAGGCTACTAGTTTAACCAAAAGTGCCTTCATCAGGCTGCATACCTGCCAAACGTTTACGGTTTTCAATACATGTTTAATTAAAGTCATGAAAGACTAGAGTTTTATCTGTAAAATAATATATATCAATATAGTTACCGCTGGGCTATACACAGTATAGACCATCATAATCATATTCTAAATAATATATAACAAATCATATATATATAATATATAATGAATAATATATAATTATCCGAAACCTTACATCCCCAGTGACCGATTAAGGTTTTTGAAATTGCTAATTTAAGTTTCCCTGTTGGCATGCTGACAGTGGTGGTGTGAAAAAACAGTGACAGAGCATTACATTGATGTTCAGCATTATGTGACAGCTAAGTGCTCCTCGTTGCCTCTCATACATCTGCTTTCTCCCATTCACATTGAGCACTGGCACCTTGTGACCCACAAATTAAGCACTGCTTGAGAGTGAGGTCAGGTGATAATTTTCATCACTTGTCCAGTCACTGCTAACTCCCCTGTCCGATAGTGCACGTTAGCTTGCAATTGGCATCTCCAAATTGAGATAACCATTCAGGCCTTATTCATCCTAAATGCTAGTTGTTTTGCTTAAAATATTGGAAAGCAAAGTGGAATTTCATGATTAATGGCATTTGTTGAAAACTCCAAATATTGAAAAGGCACTTGTTTGAGCCTGATGAGGAGATGTGGAGCCTTTTGTTTAGGGGGCTTTCACTTTGTATTGGATATTGATGGAAGGATGATGAGATTTTATTTTTAGCTTTTCAAAGCAACTTAATTGTCTTTCCCTAGAATCGGTTACCAGTACAAGAGTTTTGGGACTAGAAGGCTGTGATCAGAATTCTTCTGGACTTTCTGCTGTGTAATGTGACCTCCTTAGCAACGAAGAGTATTCAGTATTGTACATATCAGGATTGACAATGATAATAGTATATTATATTATGTAGCATATTCACTGTGGCTAGTTTCCCTCGATTAAGATAAATTTGTAATTGCCCTGAAAAATATTAAATTAGTAGTTGCAAAACCCTGCATTTGGAATTTTTACAACGTTAATGTAATAGTTTTCCATGTCTGTTTTGCCACATGCATTGTGTTGCATTCAGCTGGGCCCAGAAGAAGGTTATGAGCCTTCTTTCAACTCCCATCTTTTGCCTCCTTTGATTGCTTTGTCTTCTGTTTCCGTAGCAACCACAACAGGAGGTCTTTTATTAATTGTAATGACAAATATTGGACCTTAGTTGAAAATTCAGTATACCTAAGTTTAAAAAATGCTATTTTTGTTATCATTGTTCATTGCTCTTTGTTATGGCATTGTTCATTGCTCTTTATATAATGAATACAAAATGAATTGTATTGATACAATTGATACAATATTGGAATAGCTCCTCTGGACTTAAAGGTGTTTCTTTCTCCATTTATGTTGGCAAATGATTTAGTTGAATGCAGTTCCTATGATATTGATATTACTCTACTGCAACATTTCTAAAGTGATCAGGTATGAAAGGGACACTAAAACTGAAACTGAAATCCAGGAACTTTTAATACCACATAATATTTTTTCTTTTTTTTGTGATGTACATATAGTAGTTTCCATTGTCTATGTCCTGTAAAGTGGTTGCTGGAAAATGTGCAGTCTTTCAAGAAACCTGATAGAACATCATTAGCCGTTTTAGTTCATGCAATAAAAATAACCGCCATTCGTTCTTTAAGAACGTCATGGTTATAAATTGTTTCTGACGTTCACTATAGTGTGAGAGCAGATGTCAGAAACCATTTATATACCATTTTGTTAGATGGTGATCTAATTGAAATTTGATGTCTAAATAGTTTTTGTTAATTGGTTTTATGTCTAGAGATGTGATGTATCTGGCTCTTTTAGACATTAATTAAAGTTAAGTATAACTTAAGGTGTGTAGATTACAGATCTTGAAATGCACTTTTATTTCCCTTACATCAGCATAAAACATTTGTGAATACACAGCTGGACTCTTCTGAATCTACAGAGAAGCTAATACAGTATGATTTATACAGGTCCTAGATTTGCAGTTTGTTTTTTCTGCAAGTACTGTACTTTACATAAGCACAGTAAAGATGTCTTCATTCCTGAAGTGTGCTAGCTTCAGTCTGAAACCACAGTCCCCAAGTTTAACCACGAGGCCACCCACTTCCCTTTGTGTATTTGTGGAGCAGATGGATGTAAATTTTTCTAGATTTCAGTGGGTTGTGTGTTAGGGTTAACTTTGATTTGTACTGCAAACGGTGTGATGACTGACAAAATTTATATGAGGAGTCTTTTGTGGTTAGGGCTATACAGTATGTAAGATCAGAAATGCATTATTGTTAGAATTAAAAGCTCTTGGACTGTGGTTTTAAAATGTTTAAGGTTTCCTGGATGTTATGTGCAGTATTAGAACTTTTTTGCAGTTTGAAGATGGTGGCCATGTTTGATGAAATATTATATTTCTGTACAATCAGTTCTGTTTTCATTATTAATGTGAACTGTAATGTTGTGACAGTCAATACTGCCAGCTCTCTAGCTTTGAAACTGTCAGATTGGGAGAGGGAAGTAGCTACAATCTGGGCATTATTTTGTTTGCTAGTGTGAAAACCAATGCTGAGAACTGCAAGAGCTAAATGTGACAAAACTAGTGTCAAAGTACGATCTTCTGCCCTTTATAATCAGTGTACTCTTTTCACTCTTATATTTTCTCTGCTTCTGTTAGCTGCTTCTTGACTGCAGGTTCACTAGCTTCCAAATTAAAGTAGAATAAGCCTCTGGAGTGGCCAGATTCTTCATCATCCAAAAAATCCCAGTAGTCATTTTCTACTGTACTTGATTGGTGTAAGATGGTGAGCTTTTTAAAACTACTTCTGTAAAAATACTTTAAATACTTAAAATACTTTAGTGACTTTGCACATTTTCCTTTGGTTTTATGCATGTAAAGAGTCTTTTTTGTGGCTAGTTACAAATTGACTCCATTTTCAGCATTTTAAAAGAAAGTGCTGAAATGTTTGAGTTGGCGGATTTGATCTTATATTCTGAATCTGTATTGGGCAAGAAAACAACTGGAATAAAATCCTAAAATTGAAAACTAAAACGTATGGATATGTTTTCTGTTGTCACAATCTTCTGTGGTCTCCATAGATTAGAGGCTTCATTAATTAAATTAATTACCGGCTATATCAACAGGCTGCCCTGGCTATGTACAGATGCACACTGCATTTTGTGGGATTCAAGACCAAGGTTTCAGCTTGGTAAATTATTGGGGAGAGCTGAGAAAATAGCTATCAAAGTACAGAACGTGCTTGAAATGTGTGGTTTTTGGTTAAAACGTCAAAAAAGAAATAAGACTGTTAAACCTTCTTGATTGTTGCATAATGTTTCTGGGAATTAAGGCTGTTAGGGGTGTGCCCTAGTTGAAGGGTACGTGTTGTAGTGCAGGTTTTGGCTATTTCTGATCCCCCCCACCCCAGATATGGTGTCTACAGAAAAATGTAATTCTAGTTACACCTTATAGTATGTATCTGTTTGAGTGTCTGTGAGCAAAGTCCTGTGTACATTACAGTGAGGGAGTATATTGGATAAGAGCATGTTTTATTTCATTATTAAAATATGCCAGTAGTAATGCAATTTTTAACTTTCCTAGAACAACTGTAGCTAATTACGACAGTTAAACCCTCTTAAATAATGTGACTAAAATGTTTTTCAGCTGGCTGCTTAGCTAAATGTAATTGATACACTCGTGCACAATATTCAGAAATTATCAATTTCTATGTAGTTTTATTTTCAACAGGTTTCACTTTCCACATTAACAGTAATATAATGCATGTGAGAAGACATTGAAGATTATTGATAAACTGCTGTTTTTCCACGGCATTAAAGGCTGTTACGATCTTCTGCCCTTTTCTGATTCGTAAATAGTTTTCTTACCTTACCTGAAGGCAGTATTATCAATATTCCTGTCTTTATTCATTTTTGTAGAGTGATTCATGAAGAATTGACTGTAATTGGCTTTTTACGAAAATATGAAAAATACCACACACTCAGCTGTAACCAAATTGGTTTTTCAAAGGGAACAATTTTAATTTTCATTCCACTCTCGCAATTGTATTTTGTATGGATATTTCATGGATATATATATCCCTGTCTTAGCAAAGTAATGAAGAGTAAACTGGAACTGATATACTGTAAGAACTGAAAGTTCAAAACAAATATCAAGTTGACTGAGATCGTTGAAGTTGCTGTGAGGAGATGGAGATTCGCCAAATCTTTCAACTCGGTTTTGTTGGCCTGTACTGCTCAATTCCAAATGAGAAATGCAGAAATGATCATCAGGACATGAAGACGTCAGTGGATTAGGAAAAAACCCCAACTTGAGTTATTTTTCAAAAGCTGAAGAGAAACAAGCATGAGACCTCCAGGAATTGTGCAACTCTGTTGTTTGCAAAATTGCCCCCTTTTTGTGTTAATCATTGTAGTAGCGCGAGTCTTACATTTTGATATGAGCCTGTTATCAAAGTTTACATAAGACTTTACACATCTGTTGCTTTGAGTGATGGCTTTGCGTTGATGTTATTGATAATATTTCTTTTTTTCATGTTTCGTTACCTAGTTTGTAGTGTAGTGTTCATTTAAGTTGCAGAGGTGGTCTCAAAGCTAAGCTAAGCTGTATGGGTGTACAATATCCTCTCTTAATGTGGGTCTAATTTAAAGCTGGAAGGCTTCCTGAAACGAGTGCTGTTTGTCTGTGGAATTCTTATCAGTTAATTTTTCCCAATGTTTTTGTGCAATTGAAAACAGTGTATGGATTTTTTAAAAATTGTGCATGTTTTTTTTTTAAACTGAGTTGAGAGAATCTGGAATAAGCTACCGAGCCGTGTTGTCAAAAATGGCTTCTTCCCTGGCTTCATCCAAGAAATGGCTGGGTGATGTCTTTGGATCACTAATATACTAACTGAATGGGTTAGACAGGGTGAATGGCAACACTTATGCTCTTGCATTCTGATTGAATGTTTGTAGTAAATTCCTGTGACTTTTCTTTCCATGACAAAAATAAAGCTGCTTCTGTTTCAGAAATATACAGCACCAATTCCATTTTTAGTATAACACCATAATGGTATAATTAGAAAAACACCTGTGCTTCTTAATTTCAAAACTATCGTGATTGGGGTGTACCGCTACATTACTGTAATCTGCTGTGAACTACAGTATATGTTCACACCTTCTTTTCCTTGTACATGCTATAAAAAGATAAAAGTATTTTCTGTATCATCCTACACCAAGGATAAGTATGAAGCCTTGATATTAGTATACATTTTAAATTACATGGAAGTGGTCAGTTTGGCAGCATTTATTGTGCAAAATGTGTTTTCCTTACATACACTTCAGATAATGTATGGGTCTTTTCCATAAGCTCCTCTTTTAGAATAAATTGCTGAGAGCTGAATTGTGCCTAGCTTTGCCTTCCTGTCTTGAATTTGAATTTCACAAGCTCTAGTCATTAGCACAGTGGTCAAACGTCTACACCTATCTGCATACTGATTTTATTGGTAAATACTCTTTCCTGATAATTTTTCTTCACTTTTTAGCTGTGACACATTTGTTACATTGATCCCCAATAATGTATAATGGCGGTTCTATGAATGAAGTACAATCCAGTCATTTTATTTCAATAGAGCAAAATGGATATACTGTCTCACCAGTCTTCATTATCTACAACCTCTTGTACAGTCTGTATTGAGCATTTCAGAATCTACCCTTTTAATCGTAAATACGAATATAAAGCTGTCAGACACATGGGAAAAGGAAAAAGTCTAGGATCTGTTCTTCGTAACATGTAATGGAGTCAAATGCCTTGCTGTACAGTAATGTGCAAAGCAAGCCTCATTATCATTCTAGAGATGTCCATGTGGTAGGTGTAGAATGTTAAAACAAATGTCCTTTTCAGTGAAATAGAGGTCTAATTTTCATGTCTCACATACTACCAAATTATACAGAACTATGCAGTACAACCCAACAAGTCAATGATATTCGGAACAAAAGCAAAATGAGTTTATTTTACCATAGATTAGTATTTAATATTTGATTTGAGTTTTAGTTAAGTCAAAAAGGCCTTAAAGCTCTGCCTTTCAGTACTTTAACTTTCATATCTGTAGTAGCAATTAAAATATTAATTGCACATCCTCTGGTACAAGATCATGGGCTCACACAGGAGCAAGTTGCTGCCTTGCTAGATGGTCCAGGCCTTTTAGAAATGTGGTCATAAACTTAACTGCACAAAATCTAAACTGGGACCTAGGCTTTGACTTTTCACTTCCTAAGAAGAGTTTGTGAATCGCCTTGCATCAACGAGAAACTTTTTATTATTTATTATATTTCTTCTTATTCTTTACTGCCAATCTTTCAGAATTTACCACATTATTATTAGGGAGGACAGCATGTACAATTGTAAAAGGTGGTGGCAATCACACATGATATTGTGACAAGAAATATTCATGTCAAGTTCAATTTTTCCATGACAAGAAGACCCTGTAATGCAAGATGGTACCGTGTTATGCTAGTCATGGATGGGGTGTTCAGATGCTGTCAAGACTATAAGAACACTCATTAACTGTGTAAGTGAACTATGTAATACTGGCAGGCTTCCTGCACTTGAAGACTTCTACAATGCACAAACTTTAAAACCCGGTCAAAATATAAGCGATTAATTTTTAATGTCTGAAGGATGTGTTCTTAGGGTTAATGGTCGTCTGTGCACTTGTGTACTAGCCCTGGACGGAGCATGAGAGGGACATTCCCTTGTGCTTTTTACCTGAACATATACAACACACACACATGTGGCAAGATAGTCTTCCAGTCTCGCATCTTAACAGTTCAGCACTTGGTGATCTTGTTGCTTTTTTCAAGTACTTTTCTGCCAATCTTGGCTCATCTCCACCATATTCAGAATTTACAAAGTGGCAAGATTGCTGCTTTTTTGGTAAGCTTTATAGCTTCACTAACGCTACATGAACTACAGGTGGAATTGTAATGACAAATGGAAAGTGCTCGTCTGTAACTGGGAACTTTGCGTTTGGAGTGTAAAACTTAAAAAATGTAAAGGGATAAAAAAATGGATATTTAGATTATACTCTAAGATAAATGGATGCAGCGTTTAGGACGTGCTCTTTGAACCTAATTATTAGATTTGTCTTAATGTATGTTATGTATATATGAAAAGTGGTTATGAAATGATGACTAATTTTAGTCACATATTAGTCTTAGGCTAGTGTTGCCATTGATGACAGTACAACGTTCTGCATACTTTCTTAATGTTAATTGATATAAGTAGAGAAATAAATAGTTAGAAGAAAGAGATTTACTGTAATCCTGCATTACAGTTGGCAACAGTATAGGTAATAATGGCCAACTTGAAGTTTCTTATTTATTATTTATATTGATTCGAGCAGGCAGTTTTGTTCATTGTTTATTATTCCATTGTGACCTTGGTTCTTGTTGTCCCACTGTTTGTAATGAATGCATTCCCTGTTTCTTTGCTATTTATTCCCAAAGGTGTTACTGCCAGCAGCTGGTCTGCTGCAGCTCCAGGATGTGAAGAAAGCTTGTTGTGAATTCTTAAGCTCCCAGCTACATCCCACTAACTGCTTGGGTATCAGAGCCTTTGCAGACATGCATGCATGTACAGAACTGCTGAATCAAGCCAATACCTTTGCAGGTAAGTCCCACTGCAATCTTGTTAAAAAGTGTTCATTAAAATAATTGTGTGTCATTAGAAAAAGAGAGAGTCAACAAAAATTAAGTGATACCATGAATGCACATGATGTACAATTGAATATTTTGTGCATCTCAGTTGTGAATTGTAGGTCTTTAAGTCATTCCTTTTTATTGTCTTATTTTAGACCTTATTCTAGATAATGTCACAGACTAGTTCATACTCTAAAATGTCAAAAGAAATCCCTAACAAGATTTCACAAAGAAATAAGTAATTGAACACAAGTAGTGCTTTAGTTCCATGCCAGATTTAAACAAACAATGGAATTATTTGGTCCTAAAGTAGTATGTATACTACAAACAGCAAATTCAGATATCACTTACAATGTGGTCTTATATATTGACATTAGAAACGTCTAAGGAATAAAAGTGGTTATCAACAGAGATTTTATTTTTCTGTGTGTAGTTTGGAGAAGAACCGATAAGGATAGCAGTAACTTAAACTGAAGTGGTACTCAAGGGTAACAAATGTTTTCTTAATCAGTTTGTTGGCCTACCTACGAGAGTGTTAAGACAGTAAGTATAACAAAGGTGAGACCATTAGAGTTCTGTACTGATAGTATGTTGTGAAAAGCAAAACATCTGCCAGATGTAGTGTAGCCATGTTCAGAGTGATATGTCCAGGTAACATCAATATGAGCAGATGGGAAATGCTAAGCTGCAAGGAGATACCTGTGAAAATATCTGAGTTATGTTGGCATATCATTTGCAGATTCTAGATATTTGGAGAAGCAAGAAAAAGCAAACAGACACAGTTTTAGGATACATAGTTAAAAGCGTAGGATGTAAATCAGGATATGCTAAAATTGTACAATAGACCCGTAAGGCCTCATTTAGGGTTTGTTGTCCCCACATAAGAAAAAAGGTTTTGCTGCTCTGGAATCAGTCTGGAGAACAGCAGTCATATGTGTTCCTGAGCTTTAAGGAATGTCTTACATTGAGAGAAATAATGGGAATGTTTTTAATCTTAAACTGAGAACACTATAATGAGACCTAATTTCACGCATTCAAAATCCTCGAAGTTGATAACAGATCATCAATGAAATGCAAACTGGGGAACACAAATGGAAACTGAGCATAAAATAGAGAAAAGAGGGCACTGTTTCACACAGTGTTAGGTTTCTGGGTCAAGCTAACCACCACTGTATTGAGGATGATACCCTGAGATTTAAAAAAACTGCATGAATGATCTCCTCTCATTTGTCAACTGTATGTCCCTTCTATGTGGTATGTGTGCAAATATTTTGACACCTTGTGCTACTTAATCGTAAATCAAGCCTATATCAATTAAAATCTGCCAAATTTAAATAAATTGGAGTAGCTACTAATGCATTCTCAAAAACATGGGTTTTAAACCTACATTTTATGTTTTAAGAGACAGTTTGTAAGAGTAGCTTTGCAAGTTCTTGTACTGATTAATCTCAATTCTTCTGGAAATGAAATCTTCTAGCCAAGACTAGGTGTGATAATTAACAGAAACTGCTAATAATGATCAAGTTAAAAGGGAATTTGACACTGAATTTAATCAAGTGCAGATGAGTCCATGTTGTACCATATTGTTCACTTTAGTCTGAATGCTGTAAAATGTGTAGATTGCACTGAGAACATGAAATTGCAGCACATTATATGCTGACTAAACCTGAATTTTATTTAATTTACACCAAATTCTAGATAATACAAACGGATTTAAAGGTGGCATTTGCACTTCTTTTAGAGATGCTCTGAAAATAGTTTATGCTTTCATATCTTAAGTAAGACGAAATACATTACTGTAGACCTCACCTCCCATACTAATTGGTTAAATCGAATATCTAATTTTGTCACAACATTATGTTAATGCATTATAAGCTTATTATAAAAGCTATGAATTTTGTAAGATCATTATCTTGGAGGACCAATGAATTACATATCGTATATTCCATAAAGAACATACATTCTGTTGGGCTCCTGTCACGCATTAAATAACAGGCTATTTTAATAAATGTGGATTATCAGTGTACAAAAATAAATTGGGACACGGTGTTCTTTTGTAAGCTAACTTACAGGTTCTGAAAAGTAGTTATCTGTTCTAGAGACACAAACTTCTTGCTTTAAATGTTTTCAACTCTTCACATACCAAGATGCCTTTACCAAGCGCTGTTTGTCTACAGGTTTCCCTAGCAACAGGCTCTCCCTACAGACATGGCTGCTTAGAATGTACCGATTCTTCTAGCGATGGCTCTTTATTGCTTTCCTACTTGTCTTTCCACTTGAAATGGAGGGATTGAACACGTGAAGTGCTGTTATTCTAAAACCTATCAGTACAGGAATAAAGGGTGACATTCTGTACTTTTGCCTCATATTCATCTTTTCATCTCAAATCCGAATAGCTGGAGTATACAGCAAAAATAGCAATTTTGACTTCAGTGTTTCAGTACAAATGGAGGGCACTTTGTTAGATAGTCCTGTAGAACATCTCCGAGATTTTGTATTCACATTAGATGGCTGAACTATCTACCGTTTGACATAAAAAATGTTTGAAAGCCGAAGAAAAATTCTGAACCATGCTGATAACCATTTAAAAATTTTGTTTTTGATTAATAATACTAATAAATGAAACCTAAATAAAGCTCTTCCTCATTTAATTTGACTTGTATTTTTAAAACGCACAGGTAAACTATTTTGTACCACAGTGTTGACAGTAATCAGATTCCATGTGCCCCAGTCTTCTTTTTTTAATTTAACTTATATTTATTCCTAAACCTTGAGAAACAGCTGTAGTATTCTAAAATATAACATTCACCTTGCAAACATTTGTGAACAGATTTTATGCTTTAAAATCATTCTTATTCTTACACGTCTGTGTCTTTGGGAACAGACTGATCTTATTCTGTCACTAACAGATTATGATGGGCGACGGGAGCCTGGTATCAGCTAACTTGCTTGCACATGATCAGTTAAATAATATCGTAATATAATTACTGTTATTACTGTTAGAAACAGCGTTGGGAGTTCACGTCTGTTCACATGGCAGTTTCTCTTGCTTTACGTTTGGTTTGGTTTATTCAAATATGAATTTGGTTTTAGAAGAAAATATTCCCCAGTGTTTCTGAGGTATCTTTTTTCCTACCTGCATGATATTGCTCATTCACTCTTGTCTTATCCAGCAGAGTTAAGAGAAGCTTAAACAAGCCTTTTCTTTCTTGCATAAAAGCGTAATGCCTTACTTGCTGGTGTTTCTAAAACTCTTCTTTAAATGAAATTCGCATGTTCACATCTGAGCAGATCAAATTCTACCTGTAATTACAGTTGCAAGCATAGCCTTTGGACTGGAGAAGAAGCATGTATGAGGGTTTAAAAAAGAACAAGTAGAGGTGGATTCCATGCTGAAAAGAGAAGAAAGGAAACGCAACGTTTTGGCTTTGGGTGTGAGTGCCCGAAGAAGGCTCCACAGCCGAGACGTTGCATTTCCTTTCTTCTCTTTTCAGCTTGGAATAAACCTCTACTTGTTCCTTTGCAGCCCACGCATGCTCACACAGTTTGCAGCATTTCTGAGAACCCTGGACACACTATCCCATCATTCACCTGTGTAGCACTCGGCCGATTTTGCCCCACTCGTTGGGGAATCCCAGTCACGGTGGTGACATGACCTGTGCTCGAACCCCTGATCACAAAGTCCAACCTGCACTCAAGCAAGTGCCTTTCTTGGCTGCACCACTCTGAAGCCCCCACAGTTACCTCTATTTAATTGAAAATTGAAAACATACCTTTATACCTTGGCTTTTATTGTCTGACTTCTTATTATGTAAACAATAGCTTTTCTGTAGTTGCAACTTTTTTACCCCTTTGTGAAAAGGGAATATAGGTCAGATTAAAGATTTTCTCTTTGGTCAAAACAGTTTTAAAAATGAGAAATTGATAATGTCCAATTCAAACAAACCGTATTGATTTTTGTACACATAGTGCTTTGTTACAAAACGAAATACAAAGATCTATTGTTTATTTTTTAATTTACTTGTTCCTATTTCAGAGCAGCACTTTTCAGAGGTGGTACAGAGTGAAGAGTTTGTGAACCTGGGAATTGAGCAGGTGTGCAGCCTGATAGCCAGCGATAAGCTTACTATCCCTTCAGAGGAGAAGGTAAAAGCACTGATCTTGTCACATATTAGTTGACTAACAATTTTAAATGTATTAATCCTGTCAAAGATGGACACTAGTGACTGTCTACAGTCATAAAACTGTCCAGTTCAGATGTGCATTTCTTGTTCCCTTGAAGCTGCTATGGCTTCTGCTGCAGTTTTTGTTAATAGCCCGGCTTGATACCATACCACGAGTGACTTTTGGACCTTCTGGTCATAAATGGTTTACAAGCAATTTAATGATGTCAAGATGATCAGAGGTAATAACATATTCCGTATGGGTTTTTGTGGACTATACAGGTACAACATGACATGTACAAACTGCATTGTATTTGATTTTTAGAGGTCTTTGGACTGAGGTGGGGAGGAACCAGTTCACCCAGAGACACGGGGAGACCATACAACATTTAGCATATGGAAACAAATTGTTTAACCTCAATTTTTTGCTTGTTTTGTTACATGACACATTCTGTCATTGACTCTAACACTTCACATTTTTCATAGAACAAAATATCCTACAGTAACTGAGAATGTGTCACTTTTTAATAACAATACCAAACAATTGTGGATGTCTGGCATAAACCATGCCACTAAAACTGACCTCTTTCAAGAAATGATAAGATTCATGGATCAGTTTCCTTCTAGAAACTAAATGAGCTATGTGGGAGAAATGGGCTCCTGTTATTAATAACCTTTCATGTGTCCATAAGTTAAAAATCAATAAGAAACTTCATAGTAAGGCTTCCGTTTAACCTTTAAAGCTGGTTTTCAAAATGCTTCCAACAGGAGTGCTCTTTTATGAAAGCTTTTAATTAAAGTTAAATTAAAGTTTTTAATTTTAATACATAGAATGTCATGAGTGAATAGGTAGAGGATACACTCACATTCTCGTGCTCATGCAGGAAAGCTCTTAAAGAAGTATTTTGATGAATTACAGGTTTTTGAAGCTGTAATTTCCTGGGTTAACCATGACAAAGATGTCCGACAGGAACACATGGCCCACCTTATGGAACATGTACGGCTGCCTCTGCTCTCCAGGGAGTATCTAGTCCAGGTACAGTTTATATATATATCCCTCATGTTCTTCAGAACACACTTGGAAGAAAGAATAGTGATGATCTTACTTAGAGGAGCAACCAAATTGTTTTTGCAGAAATGTATTATACATTTTAAAATGCATGTAACATTAATCATTAATCTCCTTAAATATATAACAAAGCAATGGGATCAATATTATGTTGTAAGTTAAAATGCTGCAGATAGGCTTTTAGAACCTGTGCAAAAGAGATTAGAGCCTTATAATGATTCTGAACAACCCAGCTGATTTAGTTGGCAAGCAACATGTTGTAAATTGGATCCTCAGTTCGTCAGATTGTGCAACCAAAGGCACATGCAGTTTTTTTGCAAGCATCTACTTGAATGCGTTTGAGCTGGGTAATATAGGGAAATATTTTTGTAGAAGTGGAAGTGCTGGATAAAGGGATGTAGTAGGTTCATGAAAAAGATTACGTGGAGCTTCAGGGCAGCTCATTGCAAACAATTTCACAGAGCTTGCCAACTGACCTTTTCAATCCACTCCAGTTCAGTCCTTTGATACAAACAGGGCCCTTATTGCTTTATCAGCTCCTGCTAGTTATCAATGAACAAATTAGAAAGCTCAATGTAGAGATATGCTACAATTAAGTGGATTGGAACAGCCCCAGATTGAGTAGCCCTGGCATATATTCAGTTTAAAAAGGGAAATATTTTTCATTTATTCACATAATCTGAATGTAATACTAAGTCCAAAAATGCATTAGGATAATTGACTAGTGTGGCTAGCCCGTCTTTTAATTAGCTATTTCCGAATAATTTCTGCAATGCATGGAGCTAGTTGAGAAATCGCATTCAGCCAACAGTTTCACTTGAGCTACAGTTTTGATATTTTGTACCACCTGCAGAGAGTGGAAGAGGAGTCCCTTGTTAAGAACAGTAGTGCATGTAAAGATTATCTCATTGAGGCCATGAAGTACCATCTGCTTCCTGCTGATCAGCGCTCCATGATGAAAACTATCAGGACTAGAATGAGAACACCAGTCAGCCTTCCAAAGGTACAAAAATGTGTTTTTTGCCAGTGTCCTATTGAACTCAAAGAAAATAATTAAGGATATTGTTACAAGTTCTTGTTATTTTAATATTCTACCTTTGCTGTAGAAAGCCATTGTACAGTTTAGTGTTTTTTATGTTTTTGCATTAAGGCTCCTTTGATATAGTGAAAGACAGTGGATTCAAACCCTGGTCCTGAAGGAGCCCTGTGCCTGCTTGCCTTCTGTTCCAACTCAGTTGTCAATTGCTTAATTGAATTTTCCTGAGCTAACTTGACTTCCAGATCTTTAGGAACTGAAAACAGTTAAACAGGTCCAAATGATCCAACTGTGAGCTGACTTAGTGGTTTAGTTAAGAAACTGAGTAGTTAGAAGTTAGCTAGAAAACCCAAAGAGAGGGGTCATTCAGGGTCAGTGTTAGTACAACAGTACAGGACTGTTCATGTTGATTTAGATGGCAGTAGTGAAGCAAATACTGCTATCTCTCCTGCTATGCAAGAAAGGGTCTCTGGATTGTTTTGTTATTTTTGAAAAGTAACGCGTCTATTTCACAAGATATGTTAATAGTTCAGTAAAATTGGTTTTCAGTATGATTTCGGTAAACAGCGATTGAACTTAAATTTTCTGTACCCCTTTTTTATACAGGTAATGGTTGTGGTAGGAGGCCAAGCCCCTAAAGCCATTCGCAGTGTGGAGTGTTACGATTTCAAAGAGGAGCGCTGGTGCCAGGTCGCTGAACTTCCCTCCAGAAGGTGCAGAGCAGGTGCGTCTGCAATACTCTGCTGTTGGTCGTTTAACACCGCCTGGTTGCTTGTTGAGAATGTCCTCCTTTCAGTACTCCGAATTGAATCTTAATTTCTTTTAACCGAGAGGAGAAGAGTAGCGTGAGTTGCTTGAGACTGCGATTGCACGACCAAGAATAAATCAAGCGAGCACGAAGTGCAGTAAAGACTTATAAAAAACCTGTACCTGCTGTACCTGAGTGTGCTTTTGGGAAATCGGCACTTGCCAAGCAGTAGGCAAACTGTACCAGTGAAGTTGCTTTGAATTGAATCTTTGAGGCTTTTGACAGATCAGTGGTAAAGTGATAAGAACATGTAACACCTGAGAGATACTTTGTTATTCGTCTTGAGTCATTGGGTGAATTGTGCTGTGTTTTTAAGGTGTTGTGTACATGGGGGGCCTCATCTATGCTGTTGGAGGATTTAATGGCTCATTAAGAGTGCGCACGGTCGACTCGTATGACCCAGTCAAGGACCAGTGGACATGTGTTGCCAGCATGCAAGATCGGCGAAGTACTTTAGGAGCTGCTGTCTTAAATGGTCTTCTTTATGCTGTTGGAGGCTTTGATGGGAGCACAGGTATATTTTTCTGCTTTCTATATGTTAATTTCTTTGTTTTATTCTGTAATATCCATATAAAAACTGTGAGATATGGAGTAATCATCAAAAATGTGTTCCCAAAAAGAGCTGCGAAATTCTCCTTGCTGTTACCAGGAATGGAAGAGGTGCACTCTAAAATGTAACATCGCATTGTAGACACCAGTGCTTATACCTGCTATAGGCATATTTTCAGGGTCCAATGCTGTCAAAGCATTTACCAAAGATATCAAAATGCTGTGACAAACTAGGTAAGGGATGAACAATACTTTTACATACATCTGGCACATCCCTATATAAAATAATTTAATTATGGGTATTGATCATATAAATATTTTCAGTTTCGGGGTATTGATCTCGGAGGTACTGTTGAAGTTTGGAATTACTGAGTGCATACCCTTCAATGGACAACAAGGTGAGAATAGTATTGGGAGAAGGAAGACTGGGATCTACATGGGGGATAAAAAGTTCTAAAGGAGCAGAAGAGCTGCAGCCTATGACCTATAGTGATTATACATTTATGTTTACTTTTATGGCTTAAAAGTATAAGCTTGGTTAAACCCTAATTTTATTTGTCATTTCCATTTATATTAACTTACCAAAGCTGAACATCTGGAGTGGTTCAGAACTAGCCTGCCGTTGCTGGTGCATTGTGGACATGGGAAACTACATGGAGGAGGATTTGCAAAGGAGGAATGTGTATCACAGTGACATTCTGTGACAGTGACCCACAGATGGTTGTTAAAAATATCAGTGTTTATTTGGAACTGAAAACAAAAACATTCTGCTAAGATATGTAAATTTAGGTTAACAATTTACTTGATCACCGCAGGCCTGGCAACTGTAGAAGCATACAACAGCAAGACAAACGAATGGTTTCACATTGTGCCAATGAACACCCGGAGGAGCAGTGTGGGAGTGGGTGTTGTGGGAGGTTAGTGACTAAGTTTTGTGTTCTGATGCTCTGTACAGACCATGTTCACTGAAACATGCTAGTCAGGACTTGCAAGGAACAAATGGCTGCTTCACCACTCAGCTATTTTAGATACAAAATACCTAGAAACCGATTCAGAATCCATAGTTAGATAATTCTGAGGACATTCATTTGATCACAGTTAATATCTGGATATTATGTTGCAATCATCATGTTAGGTTTCTCACAAGTTTGTTTTTAATGTGCTTTGGGGAGAGACATTTACATATAGAAAGTTTCGGTACTCTGAAATTGTTGCAATTTTTTACTAAAAAAAAACTGACAAATCATCTGTGTATTTCTTTTTCTCCCAGGGTTGCTGTATGCAGTTGGAGGTTATGATGGAGCATCACGGCAGTGTCTTAGCTCCGTAGAGGCGTACAATCCAAACACTAATGAATGGAGCTACGTCGCTGAGATGAGCACTCGGCGGAGTGGAGCAGGTCAGCCTTAGCTGAGATGTAGCTGTCTGTCGTCCTACCTGTCCAGCTAGGTTTTGTTTTACACTTTCCATTTACAAGGAAGGAGACCAGTCGAGGCTGACAAAAATCAACAGTCACAATTGAAGGTCTTCAGCTTTGATCTTGGTGGATGTTGTACGTCTTTCCCAGTTTCTGATATTTTAGTAGCGAGGCTGGTCAACAAGGATTGTTAACTCCAATGCAATTAAGAAAAATAGTATGTTTGGTTTTTTTTTCAGATATATTGGTTTGTCCATTATATCTTTATTATACATTTGTAGAGGGGTAGAAAACCAATCAGCAGGACTGAAGTACGGAAGGTGTTTTGACATGAGATTGTAATGGGGGCGTAGCGGTGGCTCTGTGTCTAAGGATCCGCTCCTGTGACTGGAAGGTTGCCGGTTCAAATCCCGCGGCCGGCAGAGGAATCCTACTCTGTTGGGCCCCTGGGCAAGGCCCTTAACCCTAACTGCTCCAGGGGTGCCGTACAATGGCTGACCCTGCGCTCTGACCCCAAGCTTCTCCCTGTCTGTGTGTCTGTGTCTCAGGGAGAGCAAGCTAGGGTATGCGAAAAGACGAATTCCTAATGCAAGAAATTGTATAGGGCTAATAAAGAAACATTATTATTATGCTGTACTAATTTGTCACTAAAATATCAATTATTTTTTCTAGGTCTTCTCTTTGTCACCATCTGCAGGCTAGAATGCAGTATTACCGTCAGTGCCGCATAAGCACTCCAACTTAGTTTTAGATTATTGAACGGGGACAGCGCACACCTCTTTAACTCTACCAGAGCTAACTAATAAACTAATTTACATCTGTAGTCACTGAGCAGAACACAAACAACAAAATACAAGATACTGACACAAAAAAAATCTCAAGGCATGTCATATCAAAAATATGAAGATAAATAATAATGATTAATAATAATTGCTTATACTTATATAGTGCTTTTCTGGACACTCCACTCAAAGCACTTTACAGGTAATGGGGTCTCCCCTACACCGCCACCAATGTGCAGCATCCACATGGATGATGTGACAGCAGCAATAGTGCGCCAGAACGCTCACCATACACAATCTATCAGTGGGGAGGAGAGCAGAGTAATGAAGCCAATTCATAGATGGGGATTATTAGGAGGCCATGGTTGGTAAAGGCCAATGGGAAATTTTGCCAAGACGCCAGGGTTACACCCCTACTCTTTTCGAGAAACGCCCTGGGATTTTTAATGACCACAGAGAGTCAGGACCTCATATTTACGTCTCATCCGAAGGACGGCGCCTGTTTGCGGTATAGTGTCCCCGTCACTATACTGGGGCATTAGGACCCACATAGATCGCAGGGTGAGCACCTCCTGCTGGCCCCACTAACACCACCTTTGAAATATATATTTCAAATGGTTAAGTGCACAAAAATGGCATTAATAAATTTAGATAAATTGCAAAATTCCCATTAGTGGATAGCCACTTGATCTTGATCTTTTTCATGAAATGAGACATCAGAAGGTGAATGATCATAAGATCGATTTGCTGTAAGACATGGTTTCAGTGCAGTTTTAAATGTTGGTATTGTATCCCAAAAGCCAAATCATATCTGGATTTGACTCGTTCAGTTAACCCAAATGGCATGGGATGGACCACCGTTTTAACATTGTTGTACAATCAAGGGAAATAAAAGGGTAATAACATTAAGTCTTTGAAGCCATCATGAACAAAAACGTTAACATTTCTTAGAACAAACACATCCACCTATGTGTAATAAATACCTATAAAAATCTAGCTGTTTAATCGGATATTTGACATTGTTGCATTTTAGGTATTTGCTGTGGCGTTCTGTGGTTTCCGTAAGTGACCCTTTGTTCACCAGTTGAGGTGTTCGTGCTTGGGGCTCTGAGTGACTCCGTCTTTGTGCTCCGTTCTGCAGGTGTCGGGGTTTTGAAAGGATTGCTGTATGCTGTTGGAGGACATGATGGACCCTTAGTGAGGAAGAGTTGTGAAGTCTATGATCCTGCCACAAACTCATGGAAGCAGGTTGCAGACATGAACATGTGCAGACGAAATGCCGGTAGGGCAGGAAATATTTTTGAGGTTATTTTTACGAGTTGTTCTCGTGTAAGGAGTCTTCTAAAACAGTAACATGGAATAGAAGTCACATCTGTGTGTAATAAGCAATAATAAAGTAAAATGTTTACGGCGTAACAGTGGCCAATATTTTGTATACATGAGAACAGCAGTACATAATTCATATGGGTCAATTCTTTCTGGACTTTTTTTTTACATAAAATATTTACCGGAAAACTTGTGCATAAGGTGTATATGTAAATGTCAATTTTTACTGAGCACTTAGTGGTTGATTTTCTTATCTTCTAAGTCTTTCTTCTGTTAGCTTGGGCAAAACTGTCTCAGTCATCACACAGGCCTTGTGTTCATGCTTTACTAAACCCTCCTCTGAAAAGCCTGTACCCCCAGTGGAACACAGACTGGTGAAAAAGCACCTCTGTAATCCATGGTAGTAACTGAATCCTCATGTACTCTAAGGCTAAATTAATAGATAATACTGGTGAATTTCATTGTCAGGCTCACAATAGGGATGTGTCTTATTTTTTTTAAATACAGTACATTATTACGCAGTATATTTTTCACGTCTCCAAACATCAGAGATTGTGGTTTAGCCTTTTGCTGTTCATTGGAGTGTGAAGTAAAATATGTCCACTATTAATTACAGTCTAGAAAGAGGAGAGGTTTCTGTTAGTAGCTTCAAATTCAAACATGCAGTATTTTGGCTCCCCGGTTCTGTATGTTTGACGTTTTAAATGCAATCCCGATATGACCGCTGCAAGGTCTAAATGTGGAATGAAGGCAACATTGTCATCTAACTAAATTTAATTTATCGATTTCTCCTTCTTTAGGTGTGTGTGCTGTAAGTAATTTGTTGTATGTAATTGGTGGAGATGATGGGTCCTGTAACCTGGCGTCTGTGGAGTATTACAACCCAAGCACTGACAAATGGACCCTTTTGCCTTCTTGCATGAGCACAGGCAGGAGTTACGCAGGTAAAAGGGGAAGAGCAGTACAATTCAAAGAGGCTCACTGGGCATTGTGAAGGACACACAGATGATTTTGTGAGAACTTCACATCAAGGGATTATTGTTAGTTTACATTTACGGCCATTTTATACCAAATTAACAGTTGTCAAGTTAACTTTAGTGCTGTGACCTTTGTAACAGCACAGGAGGGATGAGAGCAACATTGCCTATTGAAACACCCACTGCCTCTTTCACACACTGAGACTACACCACTGATGGAGCGCTACAGCAGCTCTCGCTGATGAACACTGTAACACACACACGGGAAGCCGAGCAGCTGAGCACCATTACGTAGCAAGTCCCAGTTGTCATGTGTGATTCAAGCCTGCCGTACCCTGGTAGTGCCTGATCACTTGTGCATTGCCTCTTGGGGAATTCCTGTCAAAGGTACCTGATGGCATGCAAGATGTAAAGTGGATGTCTGGACATCAATCAGTACTCCAGAAAAGAGCCACTCATGAACCTCCAGTTTAAGGTTTTACCTATGTAAATATATGGTATATGGTTTCTAATTAAAGACGAGCTTAGCAGCTTTTCTTACATTTCTTGAAATGCTTATCTTTAATCTGGAAAATGATGCCATCTACTGAGCAAAATAAAACAAGGACTACTGTAATATTTACAGCTGATTTGGAGCTGCAAAGGAAAAAGTAGAGGTTTATTCCTCGCTGAAAAGAAATATGTATGCTTTATACATTTCATCATGGAATGAGTCTCTACATATAAGATGTCCTTGCAGACTTATTTTGGGGAGGGAATTTAAAATTAATTTTAGCCTCTTCTGAGGTACGCGACAGAGTAATATTGCCTGTTTTTTGCTATGTGATATGCTGAGTGCCACCAGGGGATAAACCTGAAATTACCTGACCGACCTGAAGTCGGTCAGGGCCTTCTCTGTTTTTCGGTAAACAGTAACTCTGGCACCTTGGTGGACTGTTAACAACATGACTACCACTCTCTGCAGTCCTGTGGAGTTTGCTGGAGACCCATGTCTTAAAACTATTAGTGATTCCAAATTGGATGGTTAAATAAGAAAATTAAGAACTAATTGTATTATGTCTGTGTATGAATCAGGCCTGTTACTTTTACTCATTTGGTTATTTGATGTTCTCTTCAGACTTGTAAGTTGTTTTAATTTCTTTACAGGTGTTACAGTAATTGACAAGCCTTTATGACTAGGTGGGAATTTACTGTCCTGAATCTGAAAAAGGTGGGCTTTTGCTGAACCAATCTGGAGGCTAAAGCTTCTTCATGGAACTGCTTCGTCCTGAAGCAGCGTGAAGCAGACTGTCGAAACTCTAACGAGGAGTGGAGTAAAGATATTGCACTTAATGAGAGCACTATATGGGATCAACCTTTACACCCACATTCTCACCTGTGAGAACAGAATTCTCTAAGTAAAGGTGCATTTTGATTGCAAATAAAATGTAACTAATACTAAGCTATGTTGTTAGAGGACCAAGGTGAATCCTTTAGAAGAAAGTTTAACATTTGAGAGGAGTTGATAAAACATGGATCATAACCATTGAAATGATGTTGTGCAACATTATTTAATACATTTAAATGAGCTAACAAGTGTCAGTCAGTATTCACAATAATGGAGGCCAGTTTATACTAGAGCAGGTGTCTTTCTGGTTTAATGAGTATAAGTTTGCCTTTTTAAGTTGCTGTACCTTGCAACATTTCTGGACTCAAGTATGAACTGTAGTAATGGCACGGTACTAAAAACAATGTCAACTATAACATATTCAAGAAAATAATGTATTTGTAGATATTTAGTTTTGCCTGACACTAAAAGTGACTTGTGAAGGGGAATGAAGAAAATAATAGCACATTTTAAAAAGATTTCAGATGCCAAATTTGTCCAAAAAAGGCAACTAAATATTTGCGTATTGTTACGTTTACTTTTTTCAAATCCTGGCCATGTTTTGATGCATTTCCTTTCTTTTTATCTAATGCGAATGTTATGGCATGCATTCAAAATGCAGTTTTATGTTGGATGCCTGGATTTGAAAAACAATCTGCATGTTGTCATAAACTTAATTTAATTTTAGCTGCTGTTTTTACTACTGCTGTACGTGAGTGAATACTGAATGTGATGTTCGAACTCACAGATTTGGATGTCTTCTGAAAATTACGATTTTTTCTTTCTTTCTGAACTATTATTCTTTTACTAAACCTTGTCTCATTCTAATATTGTAAAAGTGTCAGGAATGTTGTGCAATGCTTTATGAACCAATGTTTCATAACTGTTTTTTAATAATTATAATAAATATGCTTCTTGTATTTATGTTTGAAGTTTGCTTATTGCCACCACAATCACAATAATCTGCAAAACCGCATGTGATGTTAGCTCTTTACTTTGATAGATCAGTACGGCCGGCTGCTATAACATTTGAACGAAACTACAGGTGCTGTGAAGACGCAATCCTAAGAAAACCGCTTTCTAAAGCAGCGTCTAACGTATCTCTGAAAATCTTGTGCACTTAATTACTTAAGCTATCCATCTCAGAATTCATACTTAACGGCAGAGAAGAAGTCTTGGGAAAAATGCTTTAACGTGTGGGACCTTCATAATATAGTCGGTGATGTGACCTACTTCATCTCTCCCACATAATTCATTTTATTCGTTAAATAACTTTTTAATTGTGCTCTAGTCTTGAGAGAAAGAAGCCATAGCCATTAAAAAAAATACTGATGTTTTCTAGGCTATCATTAAATTCTCTTACATGTATAGCGAAGGAAGAAACAAATTGTAGGGGGGAAATTACATAAGAGTACACTTTGTAGAACACACCTCTAGGTCTTTTCTGATTGAAACAATGAGAGATCATGCCTTTCCATCAGAGGGTTTCTCCACCAGTTATTCTCTGCGCTCTAATTGGCCAGCGGCGGAGAGTCTCACGGTCTTGCTATCATCACTCCATCCGTTTCGCCAATCAGGACCCGCGCTGTGCGCGGTCCGCCCTGACGTCAGGATCCCCACATTCTCCAGCCAATCGCCGCAGCTACACTGCCAAGCACTTCAGCTGCGGCTGCTGCAAGTTCAGGTAGACGCCGGCTGCGGTTTCTTAAGGTGAGTAGTGTGCAATGCTGGATTAGTGTCGCATAGTTAGGTGTCTTTTCTTTGAATGAACAGTGAAATATTTCATTACTGGTATCTTGGCTGTGATATATTGGCTATGTACAGTACATATACCTATGCGTGCTCCAATTAATTACGGTTAGCGAGATTTCCAGACGTGCGTTCCAGTAAGTCTTTCTGCAATTGACGGGTCCAGTTCTCCATACATTGATTCAGATCATGAAGAATTCCCCTGTTGCTTGATCTTCATCAAGCCTTGTTAAACGAAGTATAGTACGGTTAATGTGATGAATTATAAAACGCGATAAAATATGTCTATTGAGCTTTTGATTCCAACATGACTTGTATATTTTGTGATGATGGTTGAAAATCACTCGTATACGCCGGTAACAATTTTCGCTTTCTAAAATTTCTGTTAAAATGAGACTGATTGGGAACATCGAAACCGACATTTGTGGAATGTTGAGTATTTTATTAAAATAAGGATTCAATGTATGCTCACCAGACACCCAAGTTATGCTTTTCGGAGAGCTATAATATTTTATTTCCCTCAGTTTAATCTGCATACATTAAATGATAAACTGTCCACAAAGATATTCACTCCCTAGAAGTTGCAACAAATTATGCTGTTAACTTTTATTCCATTTGCACTTCTTTCTTATTATAAATAATTTGCTCAGTTTATTGAAGTGACTGGACTTCAAGTTACTGTTAATGTGAAATAAAAATGCAGTATTTTTTTTTCCAAAGTGTAAGTGTACAGTGGGTGGCCAGTAGTTAGCATTGCTGCCTTGCTGCGCTGTGACCCTAGGTTTCAATTATTGGGGTGCTATGTGTTCTGCCTGTGTTCGTATGCTCTCCCCGTGTTTCTGTGGGTTTCCTCAAGGGACCCATTTTCCTTCCACGGTCCAAAGACATACTGGTTAATTGACTTCTGGGAAAATAGCCCTGGTTTGTGTCTGTGTGTGCCCTGGTATAGACAGGTGTCCCACCCTGTTCCCTCACAACCCTGTATTGGATAAAGCATTTAGAAAAAGTCCAATACCAGCTACTGTACCTCTTTTAGAGACCATATTACCATCAAATTAATTATTAATTCATTAAAGCTGTGCCCACCAACCTGTAGTACACTCAGTTTCAAAATTATGTGGCAGGGATCCTTAATTGTTTAACTGAATAAATAGCAGGATCAATGGAGTAATCATGAGCTAGTTGTATTAATGAATTGCAGTGTGGTTATGTATTGACAGAATCCTTACCGCCAGTACCTGGGGTGTGTGAGCTTTTAAAGTGGGAAATTAGAGGTTTGGTTCATATGTTGATTTTTTGTCATTTATATTATTGTGCCTTTTCTATTGTCTGTTAGGTCTTATCTCTTGTGACTCAATAATTAGCTGCTACACAAATCAAAATCAAAATTGTAACCAGCTCTAACTGTAAGCGAAACATTTCTTTTCCTTTTTCACATTATATTGTTAGGAAATATGAAAGTGTTCAGTAACAATGCATTAGAAAGTGGAAACAGCCAGGGATCAGCCTTTTCAAGCCCAGCATTGGATTTAAAAAAGAAAGCCGAGAAATCACTACATCTTTTTACCCACAAGAACAATTCTTTTCAGTCACAAAGTTAACATGATTGTTCACATAACACATCAGATAACATGTTTTTCACAACTGGTGGAATAAAATGCTCCTTCCACTTGTCTAGCTGGAGTTAATAAAGCAGCGTTTTGAAGGAAAGCACCTGAAACCATAGGTAGCAGGTGGGGAACTGGATGATTGATCAGTCTGGTTGACTCACATCTTCCAGATTCTAAGCAACTCGCAGCTCTTGAGCTGTGACAGGACTCCAGGCTGGATGATATTACAGACAGGGTTGTATGCCTGGAGCCAGATGGCACTTCAAGAAAAACCTGAGATGTTCCCAAAGCTGCTGTCTGAACATTCTGCGTTGGTAGGCTAGATTAGTGAAGAGGGTAAATGTGGAAGATTGGGTACATAATACATAGGCCAAAGTATGGCTCCTCTTATGATATTGTAAAGACATGTCAAGCTCCCCACATATATGTGGATTTCTCATTTGATTCTCAAGATGAACATTCCCAGCTGCAAAAGTACCTGCGCTTTATAAAAATCTAAACTCTTATGTTATGCCATCTGAAACCAGTATGTCTTCCAATTCAGTGGGCTCTTTTCATTAAACATGTTTTGCTCTAAACTAACAAGGCCTACTTCAGTACTATACAGCAGAGTCTCGACATTTGCAAGGGTTCAGAGCAGAGGACCTTCTTGAATAGCCAGATTTGCTTATAACCAAGTCCACCCCATATACCGTCGCGTAATGTACTACAGTATGTACTGTAGTATGTATGGTTATAAGACATAAGCAACCTTCCCTTGTATGATTGTTAAGGTATTAATGTATTGGCTTTAAGTTAATTAAATAAGATTGATCACCTCAAACAAACAACAGTGATCGCAAACTTATAATAATCAGCTAAAATAAACAACATGAATCCCTCCTATGATCCAGTGGATGCCAGCACTTTCTCTGCCTTCATGATCAACATGCCTCACTGTAATATAATTTATTTTCACAGACGAGCTAGGTTTGTCTCAAAATCCAGGTGTGTTGCATGGCTAACTTGAAAGCTGAGCTTATCAGCCTTCAGCTCAGTTTCATCCCACTCTGCTCTTTTTCCATCCAGGACTTCCTCAGCCAGATCAGACGTTGAAAGTGCGAATTTGAAAATGTTAATGTGGTACATGTCAGGACCGTACTGTACAAACACACAGAGGGTTTAATTACAGTACATCTTATTTTTGACACTTCTTGTATGGTAAAAAAGCATCAAAAGAAAAACTCAGAGGCTGGTTCCTAAATACAGAGGGAGCTGCCTCAGGAGAAGCTGATTCCACACTGAAAAAGTATTTCTCTCTGTGTGTGCTAGCACATGAATTCCCATATTGGAAACTTTAGAGACTACATCAAAATTTACAGTAGTCAGCCTACTGTTGGCCTCTTAATAAGTAGATTCATTGAATTGGTGTTTTTTTCTCTATAGAGACAAGAGCTTGAAGAGCTTGACAAACAAACAGAAAAGCAATGGCAGTGAATGCCAGTGCCAGCATCCTGAGCTCAGCTTACCTTGCTGTGGAGTATGTGGATTCGATGTTGCCTGGAAATCCCCTCCAGGAGCCACTGAAAAATGCCTGGAACTACATGCTTGACAATTACACCAAATTTCAGATTGCCACGTGGGGCTCCCTCATAGTCCATGAGTTTATTTATTTCCTCTTCTGTCTGCCCGGGTTCATCTTTCAATTTATCCCCTTCATGCAGAAGTACAAAATACAGCAGGTAGGAATTTTATACTTTACATTTTGGATACTTTATAATGAATGAGTGTAAAAATGTGCTTTGTAATGTTTAGCAAGTGTGTTCTGAGATGAGATTCTCCAAAACACTGCTTTTGTCATGCCATAACATTTAACCTGATTATACTGTGTTGTGGGTGTTCTCTTGCTTGACTGCTTTAATTAATCCCTCGTTCCATTCGTTCAAAGCAGAAAGGTAGCAGTGTGAAGTAGGGTTTGGGGCGCTGTGCTTGTAACTGGAAGGTTGTGGTCAGAGACCCAGGATAGAAGCACTGCTGTTATACACCTTTATGGGGACCCCCCCCCCCCCAATTGCTCTACTAAAATAAATGCCCAGCTGTATTAATCGGGACAAGTGTTTTTTAGATGAAAACGACTGGCAAAAAAAAACAAAGAATGTCACAATAATAACATTCTGCAATCCATTATCCATCCTTAATCCAATTCAGGATCGTGGGGGAGCCAGAGTCTATTCTATTACCAGTATTATTTCTTCTTCAGAAGGGATCATTAGTCATCTTCTTGAACTGGGCTTGGAATACCTCCCAGTCATTTGATTTATCCTCTTTTTCTGCATTTTCCCTTAAAAATCACAAAAAAATAAATAAATAGAATAACTGATCACACTTTTAAAGCATATTAAATCATTTTAGGATTTATTTTTGGTTTGACTGTTTTCCACTTCTGCGGTAATAACAAGCCCTTTATAGGGGTATGTTGACTTATAACACATGACATATAACACAAGTGAAAGCATGAATAGTTCTTTGAGATATGATAATGTGAATTATTTAACTTAATAAAGTAACATTACAAGAATGTGTTTTGCCCAATGATTCTCAAGTGAATATTTATTTTACAGGATAAACCAGAAACATGGGAAAAGCAATGGAAATGCTTCAAAATGTTGCTGTTCAATCATTTCTGCATTCAGCTCCCCATGATCTGTGGAACGTACCACTTCACAGAGTTCTTCGGCATTCCTTATGACTGGGATTCAATGCCAAGATGGTAACTGCTTTTGAAATTTATATCAAGTATATGTTTTTGCCAGAAAGATTGTACTCTTATTTTTTAGCTCAGGCTCATCAAAGCTTATAAAAATACCTTAGCCTTTTTTTGTGGATATAGGCAACCAACCAGATATAAACATGCAACTGCTTAACCAAATCTTTAAAGAATATTTCGTTTTTAGCTGCATGTACCATTTGAAAAAACATGAATTGAGGAAGATACCAGCTTCTAGTAATGTTACCACGAGCCTGTTCACACATTATTCACACGAACAGTCATTTATTTAACGTTTTGGAGGATTTCCTGCATTATTAACAAGTAGTTAATACACAAAGTAAACCTAAGTCTTCTTTACTGAGGACACTAAACAAACTTAGACATGGACTGTCTGTTGTAAGTCGTGGTTTACTAACATTCCTCTACACAAGCCAGGCTGATACTATATGGCTCCTTGGTCTACTACCTTTGGTCTGACTCAAATACTGTACATGCACTCTCCTCACAGTCTAAAACTTACTCCAGTGAGACAAAGACAATATTTTTTAACACAAACACAAGCCCATGTGCACATTCAATCATACAGTTGTGACGTTTTTTGCAAGTACTGCATAAAATTAACAAGTCTTTTAGGCAGCGTTCGTGATGGGATCAAGTGACAATCGGGTTGTCCTTAAAGCCTTCTAAAGGATATCTGTTATACTTTCATAGGCAATACATACTGCTCATAACAGCTAATAAACATGTGTCCTTACAAAAACAAACTTGATAAGAAAATAACTTCAAAACTTGCCATGACCCCTAGAGTAAATCTACTAAGTATTTCCAGACAAGATTGTGTGCAATCCAGGTTTCGAAGTGCTTGTGAATGTCTCAACTATGACTGACCACCATTTAAGTAATTTAAAATATTTTAATGATTACGAAATTGGTGTTCTTTATACACAACATTTTTCATACTCATATTTAGTTGTTAAAATAATAAAGTAAATTTGTATGCTTTATTAGATTAAGTATTTTCATAAACTGGTTATTTAATAAATTAAATATAAAAATGGTACCCAGGAGAGCAGGCCTTTTTGCCTATCTAGCCTGTTTGATTGCTAATAGCTAATCGATTCAAGGATCTCATCACGTTTTAGCATGAAAGAAACTAGGCTATTAGTTTCAACAGAATGGATGGATTGCTTGTTCCAGACCTTTACGACCTTTTGTGTAAGCAAGACAATTGCTTGTTGCACTACAATCCTAGAATATGTAAATGGAAAACTGAAAACTGTTACTGACAGAAACCAGAACTTATCCTTTATATTCTACTATTTGAACATTTCCCACATGCAGTGTGAAAACTAGCTCTTCAAGGTTTTCAGTAAAATATTGATGCAGATACCTTGCCTTTGTAAAGCTGCATCTGGGAAACTAACATAGACAAAATATTTTTTTCCTTTAAGCCTCTATTTTAGATACTCCAAGTTGATTCTAGATATAATTTGATTCTAAAAGTACACTTGATTTTTCGTAAGTAATAATGCTACACGCTAGCTTGTTCTGTGTTGTCTAACCACTGTTAGTGTGTGTCTCTGATGCATGTTGCTTTATTTCAAGGCCCTACCTTTTAGCACAGTGCTTTGGTTGTGCTGTAATTGAAGACACTTGGCACTATTTCTTGCACAGACTACTTCATCACAAAAGAATTTACAAGTACATCCACAAGGTTCATCATGAATTCACAGTAAGTACATGCATAAGTAATTAAAATAAGTAAATAAAAATTAAGCTTCTGCTGAGTACTGTAGTTTTCAAGTACACTTGAAATACAGTTAACAAGTACAATAATAATATTAATAAATATTAATATTAATTAATAATATAATATATATTATCCCAAAGGATTTCAAAATGTTCTAGGTATAGGAGGGAATCCACTTGAACCACCAACACAAACCTGAGTGACGTCTTGCAGTCATTATGCACCAGCTATCCCACTACACAGCAGATAGAAAGATACAATGGAATTCAGAAAACAAAACACATGAAAATGGCTTATAGAAGGCTTATAGAAGGCCCAATGTGTTAGTTATCTTTCCAATAAACATGCTGTTTATATGCTGTATATATTATTTTTTGAATGTAGTCTGTATACATACTTTAAAGAACATATACAGTATTTTTTATTGATTCATAAAGGTGCAGAATATCAAAAATTGGTATTGATTTGCAACCATATTAAACTAAAAAACAGAGTAATCATAGGTAGTATATGTACAGTATAGTCTGAAATGATACAGTAGTTCATGGTAATCTACACTGTACCAAAATTCTACTTCTGTACTTACTAAAACTGCTGTTCTTTTTTAGGCTCCATTCGGAATGCAGGCAGAATATGCACATCCTTTGGAAACAATTATTTTGGGAGCAGGATTCTTCATTGGGATCATGATCTTTTGTAACCATGTCACTCTTCTCTGGGCTTGGGTAACATTCCGCTTACTGGAAACTATTGATGTACACAGGTATGGCTCCCTCATGCGCTATGTCCATGTATTTTGCTTAGATTGCTGCATTTTACTTAATGGAGATGCAAAAAATATTAATCTTAATTTTCTTTATTTAAATAGCAACCAGAAGAGTCACAGGTAGACATGAACAAGTAGAAATATTATATATATACGGTAAAATTCAGCTCTACTACCATTTCCCCTTTTATTGAGATTATGTGTCCATCTGGCATACCTGGTTTTAATGTAAGACACAACAGATTTACACACTGGCATAACTGGTCTGAAAGTATAAAGGTTTTTGGAACAAAAATTCAATTACAGTATACAGTACTGTAAAGGATATACATCATGTGAACTCATAGTGTACTAAAAAGAGATGATGATTTCTAAGCAGTTATATTTTGTGCACTCATAGAGTACTTTTAATCTCCAAGCACTTTACGTAGGGGATGGAGCCAAACACCTCTGAAGTACAGCACCCACCTTGGTCATAGTGGGGCACTGCACAGCAGACAGCAGGAAAGACGCATTGTGCAAGTCCAGAATGTGATTTAGACAGGGCATCAGAATTAACAACCCACTCTTGTGAACAGTGTCAAAGGAAGTGGGTTCTTTAATCACCAAGTAACCAGGGCCTCAGTTTAAACTGTCATCCAGTTTTGAAATTCTGGTCCATGTGAAGTAGTGATACCTGCTGGTCCAATAAAAATCACCTACAGCACCAACCAGAACTCTCATACCAGTACTGACCAGTGGAGTCTTGTTTAACATTTTATAAGTCTGACAAGATCAGGCTACAGGATACATTTTTCTTCAAGGAACAAGTGGTGACCCATCATACCCACAAGGTGGTGTAAGAACCTTGTTTCTTGCAAGAGACCAGCAGTGCCAAGCAGCAGGCAATATTACTAACACATACACTGTTGCTCTGAAATATACATTTATTTCAGTGGAACAAAATTGATTATAGTGAGAAAAAGAATAAGGTTGTGAAGTATGATTCACTACCAGGGCTTCAAAATAATTATAAATCTTCTTGTTTGCATTGATAATTTTTTGGAAGAATGTCACAACACCCATATGGGATATGCAGTATATTTCCACCCATTAGCTGTTCTGCAGAGTTTAATAAATGTTTGTTGAAATAATTATCTGCTGAAGTAAGAAAGCTATGTGATGTAACTTTCTGAACTCTTTCCTCCCAAAAACTACAATATTTCAGCAATTAATAAATAATAAAAGTACAGGATTTTGCATTTTAAACCCATGAGTAGTTAATATCAATTAATTTTAAAGTCAGACCTTTTTAAAAATATATGTTGGAAACGCTGGTCAATGATCAGTAGTCTTGTATACAGTAAGTAATATAAAGAGGTGTTGGTGATTTTATGTGTGTACTCCCAAAGGTCAAATCTCGATACAGTACAAATAGACTTACTTACCAAGCCTGCATCGCAGAACCTGGCCCCAGTTTTCAATCAGCAAGAATGAGTACACGCAGGGGAAGAGCTCTTTACTCCCCCTAATAACAGTGGCAGCTTAGCACAGAAAGAACTGGGAAAGGTGATTTGGTTTCACAGCTTTTAGAAGATTTGTTCTGTCATGAAGAAGCAGAAAAAAAGTGATGATTTTTTTCTTCGTTTTGTACTTTCAGTGGTTATGACATTCCCTTGAACCCGCTGCATCTCATCCCGTTTTATGCTGGCGCACGCTTCCATGATTTTCACCATATGAACTTCATCGGGAACTATTCTTCTACCTTCACCTGGTGGGACAAACTCTTCAACACGGATTCCCAATACAACAGCTTCCGGCACAAACCAGAAAAGAAGAAAACCCAGTGAACGAATTTGCTACAACAGTTTTGCAGTCATTTTTTTCCATGTCCTGGAGTAATGAACTCGGAGAAAGCCTGCAAGTGGAAAAGTCGCATTCAGATGACGTGTCAGTGAAATATCACTTGGCCTTATTCTGCCTGGCTTTTGCAGGCATGTTTAAATTTGCAGTTAAATGTTTCAGGCTATTAAATAATTAGTAACTTTTGCAGTAACTTTTCAAAATGCCTCATCGGTTGTTATTACTAATGTGTTTAGATAACAAGGGAAATTTTACAGGTGCAATATGGAAGGTCAGTTCCAGTGAATATAATGTATGATATTTGTTTTCTGTATTGTCTTCAGTAGGCATTTCTGAATCCTTTAGATTGTATTGCTTGAACATGCGTGAAGAAAAGTCCCATTTTGAATCAGGAGTCTAAAGTGTAATGGTTTTGCAGAACATTCCCCTGTACTTAAAAGTATTCAACAAGTTTTAAACAACAATTACCTCTTAGAGCTTAAAAAAAGTACCATAAATATATCAATACCTACATTTTTGTTGTTTTTGCGGAAAGATTTTAGAGTGCCTTTCATTTGAAAATAAAACATCAAATCTCAATGTTATTGGTTCCACAGTGTTTTTAAGATTTGTTCCATTATTAGAATATGGACTAGACTAAAAAAAGATTAGGATCAAATTGGCTATAATTAGGAATGGAATGTGTTAAGTGGAATTTAGCAGTTGTTGCACAATGTCATTATCTTAAAATAACAGTGAGCATTATTTGCGGGGATCACAAGTGACATTTTCAGAAGTAATTTTAATAAAACAAATGCTTGTCCTCTTGATGTAATCACTGGTGGCTTTGCATGCTGTTTACAGAGCTTACAAAATTGCAGTTGTCAGATGGGTTCGCAATTAATAAAACCAATTTCCATCTATGGATTTTTCTTTTACTTTTCTAGATTGAAATCTCTTAGAAGGTTTAAATAAAACTGCATTGGTTAACTGGCAAACAGTTTTCTTAAAAGAGAATAATATTTTTATATATTTCATATTAAATGACATTTAATAGTGTTGTCTATTGCATATCCCGAAAGCTCAGTTCTAGGTGATGATGAACACATCTAAGCTGCGATGGGGATAGTATACACTGTGTTAATGTCACTGTACTGTTAAGAAGAAGAGTATACAAATACCAGTTTCATTGTCTTATTGTGCAGTGTGTAGCAGCAGTTGTCAAAATGTCATGGTAATAGTAAAAGATGTACCTAAGAAGGCTTCAAGAATGAGTTGTGATATATTCTATTGCTTATGTGTTGGGTGAAAAATGCGACAGACATGCTTTAATATTGCACAGAAATACGTGCAGAAAAAATACTTATGTAAAGACTTGATTATTGATTGTACATGTACAAATATTCGTAATTTATATGTCAAATTGTTTGCAATCAGCCTGTTTTGTATGTCAAACATTGTGTGTGTAACAGGGAGAGTAAGTATAACATTCAAACATTGAAAAAAGAAATTTATGCTTTATTTGGAGCAATTATTGCATGCTTGATTCTGATTATTAGAATTAAAATATTGTATTTTATTATTTTAGTTTTTTTGGTTTTCATCATGTAATTCAATATGACATCTTGAAACGCATCTTGGTTCTAGCAGAGCAGATCATAGAGCTGGGCTCCTGTTTGTGTGACATTCAGTCCTGACAGCAGTCTGAGCTTCACGGTTTCTTGTATGTCTGTTATTGACAGATAACAGTTTTCAATCTATTCAAACTATTGCCTTAATACTAGTTATGTGATGCACTGTGTGATACCTTGATCCATTGCAAGAACATACTGTATGATGCTTATTTTACAACTTATATACACTGCCAAGAGGCAATTCAAGCTCCTGCGAATTATATAGTGTAGCAGGTAGCAAGCGGATGACCAGAAGAAGTATGGTTTGCCTTTTGTACAATATGGTATTCGTTTATTAGGAACAAGTAAAGGTTTATTCCCTGCTGAAAAGAGAAGAAAAGAAACAACGTTTTGGGTGTGGAGCCTTCTTCGGGTGTGTGGGATCTGATGAGGTTAGTTATAAAGTGAAGATGACGTGGAGCTGTTAGCCGTAAAAATTCATTAGCTTCTTTGTTGTTGTCAGAAAGGGTAATCTGTTGTTTAAGAAAGAAAATAGTACAAAGCATTAGTTTCCGCAAAGATTGTTGTAGAAGTCGTAGAAGAGTGTTACTCTAGGTGGTGTCAGAGTCAGAAGATAAAGTGTTACATTTCAGATGAAATCCTTTCGGAATGAGACTTTAACGATGTCTGTAAAGGAAGAGGAGGTGGTTAGAAAGCCTGGTCTTGGAACAGATGGCTGTGAAGAGACGGAAAGCTGGTTTGGTGAGAGAAGGGGGCACATAGCACAGGGAGGAGGAGAAGGAATGATGAAGAGATGTAGAAAAAGGTTTTGGGGAAAAATTGGGGGTTGGTAGCAGAAGTAGGCTGAAGTAGTTCAAGTAGGGAGCTGCGTCAGCATGCGTAGACTGCAAAGGGACAAGTAAAGTTTATTCTATGCTGAGAAGAAAAGAAACAATGGCTTCTTCTGGAGCCTTCTGGTGTGTGTGTGTGTGTGTTAGTTTAGGTTAGGTGGATGCTGCACAGTTGTGGTGGTGGAGGGGAGTCCCCATTACCTGTAAAGCACTTTGAGTGGAGTGTCCAGAAAAGCGCTATATAAGTGTAACCAATTATTATTATAATTATTAATAATTCGTTTATTTGGTAGAATTTACAAGACTGGGGAAAAGAACAATGTTGTTTTTCCTTTACTGTAACCAATGATGTGCTGTATTTATATCCCTGAACAAAAAAGTGTCTCCTGCATGTGATCACAGCCCAGTGAATCCTCCTTTTTTTTAGGAAAGCTCTGCATTAGCCTATGTATGTTACTCCCAAGTTACTGGCACAGTGAATGTGTCAGTTGCTCTTAACATTCGTTTGAATTATTGTTGACTTTTGCAAATAATATAGAAGAATCAGAGACAATATTAGTCATTTTATTTCTCCCTGATGCCTGCCTTGCTAACATCTGTACATATGAACAGCTTCTGATTAAAAGTGAAGTTGTTTCATTAAGAGTGGTAGCAGGCAAAATATTCATTATTACAGAAAGATGTGTTAGGATACATATTTTAACTGCCGTTTAAACTTTGGGAAGTCTATACTTTAAAATAGGTTCTGCAACAAGAAAAATGTACTTCCTCAGAAAAATCATTATAAGCTGGTTTATCAGGCATCATCTCGGGAGAAATGTCTGTCGTATTTCAGAAAAAAGAGACGTCCAGGTTTTAAAAAAATCTTATTTATCCTGGGAATCTTCTATAATAATAATAAACTTTTTTATATATATATAGCGCCTTTAAAGGTGGCTTTTCAAAGTGCTTTACAGAATGACAACAACAATAAATTAAAAGAATACACAAGATAAAACACAATTACAATACACAGAGGAGACCGTGGATGGTGGTACTAAGTATAGTAGGAGCAGAGGAGTAAAGAATGGAACCAGGTAGTTTTCTATGATAAAGAAACAACCTATTATTTTCCCCTTCAGCCTTTAAATATTAATAATAACTGATTCAAATTTTAGTAAGGTACATTCTGTTCCATAACTGTTGAATTTACATTTAAGATCTTTGGTGATGGTAAATGGGGAGTTTTTATTTGTCCACTAGGGGGATATTGGAGATATTACCATTTTGGTGGGAAATACACAAACCTGTTCAACAAGCATATGAGTAAGAATTACAATGAAGTTTTAGACGTTCAAAATTGGGCCATTTCGTATTAAGCTTCTCTTAGTCTATACAATAGTGTGTCATTTTTTGTGGGCTATTTATACATTCTGTACATCTATTTTTCTGAGAGAAATGTTTATACTCTTTTTTGTTAAACAGTTATACTGTTTTCCATTTGTTTTTCTTTGTTTTCCTTATACATTTAAACTATGCTGAACTCTCCAAAATAATGAGGAAATTTGTTACATTTACTAGGGTTCACTCATATTTGAAATTTGGGCCATTTATTAAACCAACTGTTATGCAGTTAAACCTGTGAACTGTCCTAGTATGTAAAGCTGAGAGTATTTTTTATTTAGATTCGAAAAGAAGGACACACTTCCAGTCCACTAAACAATCCGATAAAAATTAATCTTGATGTTTTTATTAAATCATGATTTTTATTTTCATCATTAATAACATGCCTGCAAATAAAGAACTGTCGATTTCACAATGCCTGTACTTTCTACAAGCAAGATCCAGTTTTATGCTTCTTGGCTAAAGTAATTTTTTCTGCTTTGGAGAATATAATAAATGTCAGGGAAATGACTGGACACAGGCCCCATTTACGGTTATTAGGGGAAATTAGACATAGATGTAATCTAAAACAGCATCATAACTCCTTTTCGACATTAAGATGAGAACCAGTATATCTTGGGGCTGTGAGAGGAAACCTGAGCTCCCTAAGGAAAGACACACAAACACAGGGAGAATATACAGACTCCACACAGATAGTACCTTAGGAATTGGACCCTGGGTCCCAGCACTGCAAGGCAGCAATGCTGCCCACTAGGGCAACATGCCACCTGACAGTCAACATATTTTAGATATTTTTCTTAGCGGTTTCTGCTGATATTTCACTTCTTTCACTCGTAAATATGTTCAGTTCGACCATTGCAGTTTTAAATAATGTTCAGTTTGACCATTGTAGTTTAAAATATTCATTAAAAATCATTTGTAATTCACAAAATGTATGTGAGATCATTGGAAAGGAGGACATACTTTTGATAGGCACTCTACAGTACGTCTGCAAAAAAAACACTTGCTTATATCAAACCCAATCAACAGTAATAGCCAGAATACACACGTTTATTTTGTACAGTGCTCTTCGTAACAAAATATCTCAAGGTGCTTTGCTTGAAACAAGGAAGGAAGAGCATGCACCAAAATTTGACAGATTTTTCCAAATACAATTTTGAAAATAATTGCAGCATTTACAACTAATTTGATCAACTTGACAAGTTCTCTGCAACAGTTTAAATGCTGCCGGTTTTAAGCATTAAAATAGGTACTAAGGCATTGCAGGACAGTAAAAAAAATGCAATTAACAATCCCGCCATAGGTAAGATGCTAAATTGTTATAGCTAAAGCTTATTTTCAAGTTTCGCGAATATAAGGATGTGTGCAGGGAGGAAGAGATTTTAATGTTTTATTGTTCCACCATTTCGTGTGCACAGATACCGGAACATTCTTCCTTTTTTAATAAGCGGAGTTACGTTGAAAGTGTAAATAATGCCAGACATTTTATTCTGGATATGTTCTGAATATAGTGTAGGTACAGGAACCTTGAGAAACCCCCCTTTGCGTTCACGTGACGTGTTGGAATTTTAGCTTTGTCTCTGGACCGTCTTGAAGAGGATCTACTGTATGAGAGCTTGTGAGAATTGCTTTCAGTGCTAGTTCAATACTACACTGAAGAAAAGTAAGCGGTTTATCACACTGTGTGTTCTTTTTTTCTTTCAATACTTTATTCCTCTAAAATTTCAATCCATACGTGTATCACATACGCAGATTACTAATATATTGTACTCCACAGAGCACATCAGTATTAGTGATCTTCTATGAAGCTCAGCCACGCCTCTGAGGGCTGTCCCAACCTTCACACAGCCTATGCGTCCACACTCTGCGGAATGCTGCTGTAGTCTGTGGAGATCAGGTACGACTGCACATCCACCCTGGGCGGTGCTGAAATAGGAAGGCTTTGTGGATGCTAGGAAATAATTGAAACCTGTTAATAAATACCAAAGGCACGGTAATATAAAAGAAAATGAAGTCGTATCTGCTATTGGCGGTATTCGGAACGCTGGTCGTTCTGGCATCCGGCGAAGAAAAGAGTGGAAATGTCGATAAAAGGTTTACTGAAAAAGAGGACATTTCTTTCGAGTATCACCGTTACGAGGAGCTGAGGAAATCGCTGGTGTCGGTCTGGTTGCAGTGCCAGTCCATTAGCAGGATCTACACCATCGGCCAAAGCTTTGAAGGGAGGGAGCTGCTGGTGTTAGAATTATCTGACAACCCAGGCATTCATGAGCCTGGTAAGAAAACCTTTCATTTTCTAATAGAAGGAATGACTGCTGACTGCGGGGAAACCTTTTGTGCAAAACGTCAATTACAACCCGCTAATGCCGATGAAGATTATAATAATATCTGAACCGTTATTTAATTAATTTATTATTATTGTATGATTACCAGTTTGAAAATTAGACTGTCAAGACAAATGTAGTCTCAGTGCTTTTTTTGTGTGTATTTCTTAGTGATTATTGGTTAATAAGGTGGCATAGTATCTAGCTGGAAGAAAATTATACAGTTATAAACATCAAATAGATACCCTTTAAATACTGGCAGTAAAAGACACTTAAAACAGGTATTTTTCTAAAAATATTTAAAATATATTAAGTTTGTTCATTGTATGTTTTGTTTACTGATCGGGTAATTTAAATGCATGCATATCTTTCAAAAGGATTAAGTAAGACGTCAAGATACAACCATTTTGCGGACGCATTTTAACCAATCCTGATGTGTGTACAGTTCCCCTGGGTAAACTTGCTTGATGATGCGTTTCTGTCTCCTGTGGCCTTTAAAGAAAAGTCTTTTACTACCTGAAGGATTTCTGCAACGGGAGGTTACAAGGGAGGGCAGGATTATCAAAGTGTGCTTCAGTACATTTGGCACAGTCTTATCGGAAAGCAATCTAGTTGATAACCCAATCAGTATAATTGAAACGATGTTTTTTTTTATTTGCATAAGAGTGACAGTGTAAATTCATTGTATTTGAGATGTCATTTACGTTTCTTAGGGCCAGAGAAAATAAAGTTGTTTTTTTCATTGTTAATTTTTATTGTTCCATATTGGTCAGTTTTATAGTAGTTTATTGTAGTAATGCATTTATAATGGAACAAGTAATAGGTTCATTCCATGCTGAAAAGAGAAGAAAGGAATCACAACGTTTCATCTGTGGAGCCTTCCTCGGGATGTATTTATGATAATAACGCCACAAACATGACCAACTAAACGAAGGTTGTGGTAGCACAACATTTAGTTGTATTCTGTATTAATAGGAACTAAAAATACTCTACGCAGCAACTTTAATTGTGCTTATTTTTTTTTCATACTACTAGGTCTGAATGCAGCTTTATCACAGAATAATTGATCTGTCTTATGTCAGCTGTTTAAATACTGGTGAGGGTCTTCATTCGGTTTTCTTGGCAAGACTGGCTCTTTATTGTTGATGTCTCTATTACAACTGCTCTGTGTGAATATACAAGTTTTAGTTTCAATATCTTTCCCTGTTTGATTATGATTATAATTATGATATGATTCTCATAGGAGGTGAGAGCAGTGTAAATAATGAAATTATTGATATTTCGGCACAGATAATTTTACTTGAAATAATGTCTGATTAAATACCGCATGACCTGACTATTTAATAATAACTATACTATTTTTTATTTACTTAAAAAGTCTACCTCTAGCTATTCTATACTGTTCACTCTTAAATAGACTTCTAATAAGGAATAGTCATTCCTAATGTATTGTGTTTATTCCTGAAAGATACATTATATTTACTAAATTGTATTTTTAAACTACTGTTATCCATTTTTATGGTTAACAGTCCTTAATTTACAGAACTTCAAATAATACATTTATACTATTATTCATAGTACAATATTTGCATGTTTTATTGGTTTCAAAGAGTATATATATTTTGAGGTTGGTGTAATTGCCGATGTGTGTATTTCTGAGTACTTAATTAGCTGTGGTATATAAGATTTCTCAAATCTGTGTTTTGAAAGGATTTTAAGATAGCTCAATAGAAATGTAACTGGTTAGAATTATTTTGTCCCCAAGTGTGAAAAATGTATTTAAACACAATTTAATGAAAGAATAATAATAAACATCCTAGTTTAATTGTCGGCTGCAAATCAACTGCTTTTTACAGTTGATTTATATACCTTAATGGTTAAAGACCTAGAGCCAGTGGTAATATGGACCACTTAAGTATTCAATTGATTCAAATCAAAGGAAAAGTATATATGATAAACTGGAGGTTATCCAGAGGTCACAATCCTAGAGGTAATTTACAGAAATTGGGAATTATGTGCTGATTCAGGGTCCTTTAGGTTATCACATTCTAGACATACTGGAGCCTGTGTAGTACGTTAACTATAACCCATTAAATAAGGCATGACAGTAGAACAGTTTTGGAGAAATGCACACAAGTAACAATATTTCATTGTCTTAATGTGACAGGCAGAACAGGGGTCTTAACTGAGTGATGTCAGACAGGTGGATGAATGAGGCCCTTGTGACATTCCTGACATACACATGAGGTCATAAGTAACATCATGGTTACTGTTTTCAAGTGACCATTCTGTCACCAATGGTTAAGCACCATTAATGACGCCGAAGTTACCAAATTGTGTGAAGCTAACGTTGGGAGCCAAGAGCATAGCCACAGTCTTGTCACAGCATATCTTCAGAAATTCTGTTGCAATTATATCTTACTATACGACAGTCACCTGCAGTGAGTTCAGAAAAGTTCAGAAATCACAATAACAGTGTTTGCTAGAAAATCTCAATTTAATCGGCATAGCATAGAAAGCAAAAGGTCCATGATGGGGAATAATCTGACCTCAGAGGTAGGATGTACTGTACCGTACGTGCCAAATAGTAAAGGCCCCAGCACAGACCCCCGTGGAACATCCTACACAAGTGGGAAATCATCAGGTTTAAAACTGGTCAATTTTAAAGATTGAATGTTGGTAGCCAAAAAGTAGCCAAAATAGCAAAGGGCTACCAGTGATACCAGTGATATTCCTTGTAAAAAAAAATAGAAAGTCTAAAGCTGTCTGTAAATCCTAAAGGAGAACAATCTTAAGTGACTCAGAGTTAGAAGCCACCAGATCATTAACTACGGTACGTTAATAAGAACTGTTTTAGCACCATGCCTGTTAGAAAATGCTAATTAGTAGCTGGGCATCAAAGCTGGATTTTTGTAAAACAAGGTGTAATAACAGTAGACTCCCAGATTTCGGGGAGTTATTGATGATGATAATGATAAATGAACAAAGGGCCCAGAAGCTAGCTCTTAATAGTACGATACAAATAGCATTCAAGTTGCCAATAGGTGGTCTCATTTTAGAGTCCAGCATAGACACATACGCAATATTAATGCAGCAAAATGAGAGAAACTGGTGTCATATTTGTAGTTGTCATGACTACTGGAGGTGAGGTTTAAGAAATAGTCATCAATATTATCTTTTGTTGTAAAGGAGGTTCATTTATTTGTTGTTGATGTTGTTCACAAGTCTACATGAATAGTTACCCTCCTCTTTCTTCACAAATGCACTAGACATTATTTTGCTGTTGCCTTCATACAGTGCACTTAATTTGTGCACAAGGGGAGAAAATGAATAAAGGAATTAAGATGAGTTTTAATAGGTGGTAAACAATCAATAATGTGTTTGTATGTCATTGTACAGATACTGTCCATTGTAAAAATATTGTTATAAAGAACATATTGCAACAGATACTTATGAAATGTGCAAGGCACATATGTAATAATAGATTTAAAGTCTACAATTTTGTAGTTGAAAATTCAGAAATGGATTCTAAATATATTTTTGCTTAAATATCGGGGGGTTTAATATCTGACACCTCAATAGTAGTTAAAGTATTTAATTTTTCACATGATTACGTTTCCTGCTACTTCTTGTTAAAGATGTTAAATTATCCTGTCATTTAGGTCATAATACTGAATGCACAATGTTCATTAGAAATGGTGGAGAGCAGCTGTTGTATTATACACTCTCATTGTGAAGCCCAGTCCATATTAGTATGGTTTCGTATTTACCATGTTTCGTAATTCAACCTATCAGTCTTTTCTCATGAGAGAGTACAGATAAACATACAGATAAACAGATGAACACTATAATAAATAGGTTAATTTTTATCCCTTCTGACTCATTCTGACAGCGTTCCTGTTGCTGCCACGTGGATTTCCACCATGATGTGGACACTAGTTGCTTAGCAACTGGTACAGTAACTGACCTAGTGGTGGCAGATATGTGCAGTGACAGGACTGTAAAGGTGTGTGCTGTTTACTAGCTTTGAAATTAAAGGTCCATCAAAAATAGATGTTGCTATGGAGACCGATAGGATTATCACAGTGAGCCATGTTCCGTGTGGGCTTGCTAACAGGCTCAGTTGTTTGCTTGAGTCGCATTAGTGTACTGCCTTCTGCCACGTTATTTGATGAGGCCATCTGCTAGTTCTAGTGTGGCAAAAACATTCGTCACTTACAATATCAGTCAGAATTTCAAATGTACATTGTACAATCCGAAATTAAGGTTTTTGAAATTGTGCAACGTAGCTGCTGTTCCTAAATTATTAATGACTCGGAATACAATTTCGGCTTTTAATGTGGCTCAAGCATTTGTCATGGCTCTTTTCTTCTCTGATTCTCACCCATATGACAAAATCCCACTGCGATATGATCTTTCTTTTGATATATTGTTAGAAATGATAAAGATTCTCATCACTTTATAGAAAGGTTTTCTATACAATGTGGAGTTTTTTTGGAGTTTTGGGTACGACTCTTTTTACAAAAGCAAATACACAAAAGGGAAGAATCAATAAGAATATTAAAAATATTATACAGCATATACTGTATATATAAAAATATTAAAGTTACCAGGAGAATATCAGTTGAATTTTGTAATGGACAGATAGTTGCTTACAAACATTAGAGTTAGGTTGTGCTATAACCTGGTTTGGTCAAAGGTCTTCTGGAAGCTTCCCATTGGAGACCTTTGGTCTAGTGAATGTTAAGCAGAAGTCCCATTTTCTCATTTGCCTCAGTAGATATGTTAAAAATTGTTTAGAGATTCAGAGGATTTTCTCAGATGTCCCTTACTTTTCACTTGTTCTTGTTCTCTTGAGCTTGAGCTTGTTCTTTACAGGACAAAATCCTTCTCCTTTGACTTCTGGTATCGTCAGTAACTCCCGGGTTCCTTGAAAAATGAAAGACTGTAAT